CCGGACCGGTTGCATCACCGCCTGGTATGGCAACTGACCGTAAGGCGCTGCAGAGGGTTGTGCGTACGGCCCAGTACATCACTGGGGCCAAGCTTCCGGCCTTCCAAAACCTATATATTAGGCAGTGTCAGAGGAAAAGCCCGAGAAATTGTCAAAGACTTCAGTCACCCAAGTCATTGACTGTTTCTCTCTGCAACCGCACGGCAAGCGGTACCGGAGTGCCAGGTCTAGGACCAAAACGCTCCTTAACAGCTTCTACCCCCAAGCCATAAGACTGCTGAACAATTAATCAAATGGCCACCCGGACTATTTACCCCAGCCCCTCCATTTGTTTTTACACTGCTGCTACCCGCTGTCTGTTATCTATGCATAGTCACTTTACCCATACCTACAAATTAACTCGACTAACCTGTACCCCCGCACATTGACTCAGTACCGGTACGCCCTGTATGTATATGTATATATACAGTGGGGAGAACAAGTATTTGATACACTGCAAATTCGGCAGTGTTTCCTACTTACAAAGCATGTAGAGGTCTGAAATGTTTATCATAGGTACACTTCAACTGTGAGAGACGGAATCTAAAACAAAAATCCAAAAAAATCACATTGTATGATTTTTAAGTAATTAATTTGCATTTTATTGCATGACATAAGTATTTGATACATCAGAAAATCAGAACTTAATATTTGGTACAGAAACCTTTGTTTGCAATTACAGAGATCATACGTTTCCTGTAGGTCTTGACCAGGTTTGCACACACTGCAGCAGGGATTTTGGCCCACTCCTCCATACAGACCTTCTCCAGATCCTTCAGGTTTCGGGGCTGTCGCTGGGCAATACGGACGTTCAGCTCCCTCCAAAGATTTTCTATTGGGTTCAGGTCTGGAGACTGGCTAGGCCACTCCAGGACCTTGAGATGCTTCTTACGGAGCCACTCCTTAGTTGCCCTGGCTGTGTGTTTCGGGTCGTTGTCATGCTGGAAGACCCAGCCACGACCCATCTTCAATGCTCTTACTGAGGGAAGGAGGTTGTTGGCCAAGATCTCGCGATACATGGCCCCATCCATCCTCCCCTCAATACGGTGCAGTCGTCCTGTCCCTTTGCAGAAAAGCATCCCCAAAGAATGATGGTTCCACCTCCATGCTTCACGGTTGAGATGGTGTTCTTGAGGTTGTACTCATCCTTCTTCTTCCTCAAAACACGGCGAGTGGAGTTAAGACCAAAAAGCTCAATTTTTTTCTCATCAGACCACATGACCTTCTCCCATTCCTCCTCTGGATCATCCAGATGGTCATTGGCAAACTTCAGACGGGCCTGGACATGCGCTGGCTTGAGCAGGGGGTCCTTGCGTGCGCTGCAGGATTTTAATCCAAGACGGCGTAGTGTGTTACTAATGGTTTTCTTTGAGACTGTGGTCCCAGCTTTCTTCAGGTCTTTGACCAGGTCCTGCCGTGTAGTTCTGGGCTGATCCCTCACCTTCCTCATGATCATTGATGCCCCACGAGGTGAGATCTTGCATGGAGCCCCAGACCGAGGGTGATTGACCGTCATCTTGAACTTCTTCCATTTTCTAATAATTGCGCCAACAGTTGTTGCCTTCTCACCAAGCTGCTTGCCTATTGTCCTGTAGCCCATCCCAGCCTTGTGCAGGTCTACAATTTTATCCCTGATGTCCTTACACAGCTCTCTGGTCTTGGCCATTGTGGAGAGGTTGGAGTCTGTTTGATTGAGTGTGTGGACAGGTGTCTTTTATACAGGTAACGAGTTCAAACAGGTGCAGTTAATACAGGTAATGAGTGGAGAACAGGAGGGCTTCTTAAAGAAAAACTAACAGGTCTGTGAGAGCCGGAATTCTTACTGGTTGGTAGGTGATCAAATACTTATGTCATGCAATAAAATGCAAATTAATTACTTAAAAATCATACAATGTGATTTTCTGGATTTTTGTTTTAGATTCCGTCTCTTGCAGTTGAAGTGTACCTATGATAAAAATTACAGACCTCTACATGCTTTGTAAGTAGGAAAAGTGTATCAAATACTTACTCTCCCCACTGTGTGTGTGTGTGTGTGTGTGTGTGTGTGTGTGTGTGTGTATATATATATATATATATATATATATATATATATATATATATATAGCCTCTTTATTGTTATTTTATTGTGTTACATTTTATTATTTTTTACTTTAGTTTATTTGGTAAATATTTTCTTAACTCTTTCTTGAACTGCATTGTTGGTTAAGGGCTTGTAAGTAAGCATTTCAAGGTAAGGTCTACACCGGTTGTATTTGGCGCATGTGACAAATAAAGTTTGATTTGAAGTCCCTGCAGCAATGTTCCAACATCTAGTGGAAAGCCTTCCCAGAAGAGTAGAAGCTGTCATAGCAGCAAAGGGGGTACCAACTCCATATTAATGCCCATGTTTTTGGAATGAGATGTTCGACGAGCAAGTGTCAACATAATTTTGGTCACGTAGTGTATTTAGGTTGGGGGAAAAGTCGATGCGAAACATTGTTGAATTCAAACATTCTGCTGACAGGTCCACAACAATTTGCCATCGTTTTCTCACTCAGAAACTGATAGTCCTTTTCCAGATACAGTATAAATGACTGCTAAACATTTAAACATTCTGCCAACACAGTAAATAGGGTAGGCTACAGTATTGATGTGCGATAGAAGCACAACATCATAAGCCTATTTAATCTCAGAGCCTATACAAAGGCAAGACATAGAAACACAATTATCTATTGATAAACAAAATATTTAACAACAATTGGTCCTTTGCATAGAAGTGTAGCATACTTTTAAATTGTTTCCAATACAGTGAGGGAAAAAGTATTTGATCCCCTGCTGATTTTGTACGTTTGCCCACTGACAAAGAAATGATCAGTCTATAATTTTAATGGTAGGTTTATTTGAACAGTGAGAGACAGAATAACAACAAAAAAATCCAGAAATAACGTATGTCAAAACTGTTATAAATTGATTTCCAAACTCTCCACCATGGCCAAGACCAAAGAGCTCTCCAAGGATGTCAGGGGCAAGATTGTAGACCTACACAAGGCTGGAATGGGCTACAAGACCATCGCCAAGCAGCTTGGTGAGAAGGTGACAACAGTTGGTATGATTATTCGCAAATGGAAGAAACACAAAATAACTGTCAAATCTCCCTCGGCCTGGGGCTCCATGCAAGATCTCACCTCGTGGAGTTGCAATGATCATGAGAACGGTGAGGAATCAGCCCAGAACTACACGGGAGGATCTTGTCAATGATCTCAAGACAGCTGGGACCATAGTCACCAAGAAAACAATTGGTAACACACTACGCTGTGAAGGACTGAAATCCTGCAGCGCCCGCAAGGTCCCCCTGCTCAAGAAAGCACATATACATGCCCGTCTGAAGTTTGCCAATGAACATCTGAATTATTCAGAGGAGAACTGGGTGAAAGTGTTGTGGTCAGATGAGACCAAAATTTAGCTCTTTGGCATTACATTTACATTTTAGTCATTTAGCAGACACTCTTATCCAGAGCGACTTACAGTTAAGTGAGTGCATACATTATGATTATTTTATTTTATTCATACTGGCCCCCCGTGGGAATCGAACCCACAACCCTGGCGTTGCAAACGCCATGCTCAACCAACTGAGCTATATCCCTGCCGGCCATTCCCTCCCATAACCTGGACGACGCTGGGCCAATTGTGCGCCGCCCCATGGGTCTCCCAGTCGCGGCCGGCTACTACAGAGCCTGGATTCGAACCAGGATCTCTAGTGGCACAGCTAGCACTGCGATGCAGTGCCTTAGACCACTGCGCCACTCGGGAGACCTGGCATCAACTCAACTCGCCGTGTTTGGTGGAGGAGGAATGCTGCCTGTGACCCCAAGAACACCATCCCCACCGTCAAACATGGAGGTGAAAACATTATGCTTTGGGGGTGTTTTTCTGCTAAGGGGACAGGACAACTTCACCGCATCAAAAGGGACGATGGACGGGGCCACGAACCGTCAAATCTTGGGTGAGAACCTCCTTCCCTCAGCCAGGGCATTGAAAATGGGTCGTGGATGGGTATTTCAGCATGACAATGACCCAAAACACACGGCCAAGGCAACAAAGGAGTGGCTCAAGAAGAAGCACATTAAGGTCCTGGAGTGGCCTAGCCAGTCTCCAGACCTTAATCCCATAGCCTCGAAACCTTAATGACTTGGAGAAGATCTGCAAAGAGGAGTGGGACAAAATCCCTCCTGAGATGTGTGCAAACCTGCTGGCCAACTACAAGAAACGTCTGACCTCTGTGATTGCCAACAAGGGTTTTGCCACCAAGTACTAAGTCATGTTTTGCAGAGGGGTCAAATACTTATTTCCCTCATTAAAATGCAAATCAATTTATAACATCTTTTACATGAGTTTTTCTGGATTTTTTAGTTGTTATTATGTCTCTCACTGTTCAAATAAACCTCCCATTAAAACTATAGACTGATCATTTCTTTGTCAGTGGGCAAACGTACAAAATCAGCAGGGGATCAAATAATTTTTTTCCTCACTGTATACAGTCAATCTTGCAGGATGCGGGGACAGACACTCGATATAGGCAGCATGTATGTTTAGTTTTAAAAAGCCACAGCAAAATATCAAAACATTCTGCCCACACATCTACAGAAATGTGATCAAATACACCATTGCTATTTCTTTTACAAACTGCCGTGACCTAATTCCAACAGTGCCAAATTATACAGCAAATAAGGGGCGTTGTGACCATAAAAGGTGAATGGAAGGCGTTTTCCAGATGGAGTTTTAATGCTCGTTCACACGTGAGCAGTTTTACCATAGGTCTGATTTGTAATGGGAAACGTGTATATATGGCGTGCGCCTTGTTAATTAATCTCCATATTTTTTGACGTACTTATTATTTTCAGAAATGGTGCACGAAGATATTTTGTGGTGCATACCTGATAGACCTTTGACCTTTGGCCAGTGAAACCATCCCACAGAATGACTGTTCCCTCGTAGTCGCTGCTAGCCAACAGATTCTTGTGGTAGCTGCTCCAGCTGATACAGCTGAAATACAAAACACATGGGGATGTAAGAGCCGAGACCTGTTCTTCCATGATTCTATGAGGATTAATGAATATGCTAGATATAGAAAACATATACATAAATCTATGCCGGCATTTAAAACAAAATCCCAAATTGTTAAAAGTGTATAGTTTCTATTGTAATACAAAGTGGGTGACTCAACGTTAAGACAGGGTGAAAGGGCACCTGATTTTGGAGTTGCACGTCATTTCATTGACTGGGTAATGAATGTCCACAGCATCCTGGATCACAGTTCCATATTCAAACACCTTGATTTTCTTGGTGACGCCAGCGATAGCAAAGTAATCACCGTCTCGGTCAAATTCAATGCTGCATAGACAGAGAGAGAGCAAAACATCAAGCTCAATAAGAGGTCACATCAAACAAGTAACACAATGGTAAGTTTAGGTGCAATGAAGCATTATTTCATGATATGTAAAGCATGGTAGTCTATTCCCTTTATAGTGCAGAGCACTACTTTTGACCAATACTATATAGGGAATGGGGCGCCAAATGGGAAACACACCTTGTCTCCCATTAGATTGTATTTTTTCCATAGAGATAGAGGTAGATAAGAGATAGAGGTAGCAACAGACATTGTAGTGCCTTCTGCTACACTCCAGTGGCAAATTAAAGATGTATTGTGATACAGGATCGCCCTCTGCAGGTCAAAGTGTAAACTAACCATTAGGATGGAGCTAAATCTAACAAGTAGAATGACAAAGCTGGTGGACGCAATGGGCCGGTTTCCATTCAAATTAAACCTAGTCTTGGACTAAAAAGAAAGCCAAAGGAGTATCTACACTGAAATATATTTTTAGTCCAGGACTAGGCTTGATCAAGGTCTGGGAAAATGGCCCTATGACAGTAACTAATTAGCTAAGCCATCAAAGGTTTTGTGTTTGACAGTTGTGGGTTGACATTACCTAGAGACAATACTGGAGCCGTTGTAGAGATCACTAGCATAAGACAGAGTCGCCAACGGCCGCACAGAGTTGAAGCGTGTGAACTTTGAGAGACACTCCATGAAATCATCCAGTTGATTTAAGTTCCTGGTGTCATCTAAAACAAGACAAACAATAAATATCAAATCCAGAACACCATTAGAAAATGAATAATGTTTTAGTTGTTTATTATGGGATTTGTCCTCAAGCCTAAAATATGTTCTGCAAGATAATGTAGTTTAGTCAACTATAAGTTAAACCTAGAGGGTTGTTGTTGTGGTCGTTTGTGGGAGATGCAGTCAACCTTCTTCTTTTGGAATACAAGGACATGACTTTACCCAGATATGGACCTCATTCCAGAGAAGCCCTTTTAGTAGCGCTGTATAATCCACATTTTACTGAAACCTAGAGGGTACCTGTTATCCGTGTCATCCGGTCAGAGAAGTAGCATTGCTCCAGATCTTCAAAGTGCGCTGTGAGCCTCTTTCTCCGAGAAGCCAGAGTGCTGTTGTACCATGTTTGCCTCTTCCCCTGATGGTGAAATAGAACATTTAAAATCACAGACATGAGACACTAAACACATTTGGAGATCGTGAACCTGAAACACCAACATCAATGGTTCTCTATGGCTGCGTTCCGATTCTCCACCCTTCTCCCAGTGTAAACTTGCACACTTTCTCGCATGGATTTAACAAATGGTGAAAACACACCCCAGCCAATGCTTACACCAATCCTATGCATTTACATTCATGACTAGAAGGGTGGATAATTGGGATGCAGCGTATGCCTATCAGAAAACTACAGTGGGTCAGACTTACCTGTGAAGTTCCACCAAAACCTGGAGGTTGACTCACGTACTCTGTCGAATCTATAAGACTACTGCAAAGACAAGACTTAGTTGCCGTATGTGTGTGTGTAAAAACTCAGCAAAAAAAAAGAAACTTCCTCTCACTGTCAACTGCGTATATTTTCAGCAAACTTAACATGTGAAAATATTTGTATGAACAAAACAAGATTCAACAACTAAGACATAATCTGAACAAGTTCCACAGACATGTGACTAACAGAAATTGAATAATGTGTCCTTGAACAAAGGGGGAGTCAAAATCTAAAGTAACAGTCAGTATCTGGTGTGGCCACCAGCTGCATTAAGTACTGCAGTGCATCTCCTCCTCATGGCCTGCCCCAGATTTGCCAGTTCTTGCTGTGAGATGTTACCCCACTCTTCCATTAAGGCACCTGCAAGTTCCCAGACATTTCTGGGGGGAATGGCCCTAGCCCTCACCCTCCGATCCAACAGGTCCCAGACATGCTCAATGGGATTGAGATCCGGGCTCTTCGCTGGCCATGGCAGAACACTGACATTCCTGTCTTGCATGAAATCACGCACAGAACGAGCAGTATGGCTGGTGGCATTATCATGCTGGAGGGTCATGTCAGGATGAACCTGCAGGAAGGGTACCACATGAGGGAGGAGGATGTCTTCCCTGTAACGCACAGCGTTGAGATTGCCTGCAATGACAACAAGCTCAGTCCGATGATGCTGTGACACACAGCCCCAGACCATGACGGACCCTTCACCTCGATCCAGAGTACAGGCCTCGGTGTAATGCTCATTCCTTCGACAATAAACGCAAATCCGACCATCACCCCTGGTGAGACAAAACTGACGTGACTCGTCAGTGAAGAGCACTTTTTGCCAGTCTTGTCTGGTCCAGCGACGGTGGGTTTATGCCCATAGGCGACGTTGTTGCCGGTGATGTCTGGTGAGGACCTGCCTTACAACAGGCCTACAAGCCCTCAGTCCAGCCTCTCTCAGCCTTTTGCGGACAGTCTGAGCACTGATGGAAGGATTGTACGTTCCTGGTGTAACTCGGGCAGTTGTTGTTGCCATCCTGTACCTGTCCCGCAGGTGTGATGTTCAGATGTACCGATCCTGTCCAAGTATTGTTACACGTGGTCTGCCACGGCAAGGACGATCAGCTGTTCGTCCTGTCTCCCTGTAGCGCTGTCTTAGGCGTCTCACAGTACGGACATTGCAATTTATTGCCCTGGCCACATCTGCAGTCCTCATGCCTCCTTGCAGCGTGCCTAAGCCACATTCACGCAGATGAGCAGGGACCCTGGGCATCTTTCTTTTGGTGTCAGTAGAAAAGCCTCTTTAGGTGTCCCAAGTTTTCATAACTGTGACCTTAATTGCCTACCGTCTGTAAGCTGTTAGTGTCTTAACGACCGTTCCACAGGTGCATGTTCAATAATTGTTTATGGTTCATTGATCAAGCATGGGAAACGGTGTTTAAACCCTTTACAATGAAGATCTGTGAACTTATTTGGATTTTTACAAATTATCTTTGAAAGACAGGGTCCTGAAAATGGGATGTTTCTTTTTTTGCTGAGTTTATATATATATATATATATATATATATACACACACATACAGTGGGGAGAACAAGTATTTGATACACTGCCGATTTTGCAGGTTTTCCTACTTACAAAGCATGTAGAGGTCTGTAATTTTTATCATAGGTACACTTCAACTGTGAGAGACAGAATCTAAAACAAAAATCCAGAAAATCACATTGTATGATTTTTAAGTAATTAATTTGCATTTTATTGCATGACATACGTATTTGATCACCTACCAACCAGTAAGAATTCCGGCTCTCACAGACCTGTTAGTTTTTCTTTAAGAAGCCCTCCTGTTCTCCACTCATTACCTGTATTAACTGCACCTGTTTGAACTCGCTACCTGTATAAAAGACACCTGTCCACACACTCAATCAAACAGACTCCAACAACTCCACAATGGCCAAGACCAGAGAGCTGTGTAAGGACATCAGGGATAACATTGTAGACCTACACAAGGCTGGGATGGGCTACAGGACAATAGGCAAGCAGCAGGTGAGAAGGCAACAACTGTTGGCGCAATTATTAGAAAATGGAAGAAGTTCAAGATGATGGTCAATCACCCTCAGTCTGGGGCTCCATGCAAGATCTCACCTCGTGGGGCATCAATGATCATGAGGAAGGTGAGGGATCAGCCCAGAACTACACGGCAGGACCTGGTCAATGACCTGAAGAGAGCTGGGACCACAGTCTCAAAGAAAACCATTAGTAACACACTATGCCGTCATGGATTAAAATCCTGCAGCGCACACAAGGTCCCCCTGCTCAAGCCAGCGCATGTCCAGGGCCGTCTGAAGTTTGCCGATGACCATCTGGATGATCCAGAGGAGGAATGGGAGAAGGTCATGTGGTCTGATGAGACAAAAATAGAGCTTTTTTGTCTAAACTCCACTTGCCGTGTTCGGAGGAAGAAGAAGGATGAGTACAACCCCAAGAACACCATCCCAACCGTGAAGCATGGAGGTGGAAACATCATTCTTTGGGGATGCTTTTCTGCAAAGGGGACAGGACGACTGCACAGTATTGAGGGGAGGATGGATGGGGCCATGTATCGCGAGATCTTGGCCAACAACCTCCTTCCCTCAGTAAGAGCATTGAAGATGGGTCGTGGCTGGGTCTTCCAGCATGACAACGACCCGAAACACACAGCCAGGGCAACTAAGGAGTGGCTCCGTAAGAAGCATCTCAAGGTCCTGGAGTGGCCTAGCCAGTCTCCAGACCTGAACCCAATAGAACATCTTTGGAGGGAGCTGAAAGTCCGTATTGCCCAGCGACAGCCCCGAAACCTGAAGGATCTGGAGAAGGTCTGTATGGAGGAGTGGGCCAAAATCCCTGCTGCAGTGTGTGCAAACCTGGTCAAGACCTACAGGAAACGTATGATCTCTGTAATTGCAAACAAAGGCTTCTGTACCAAATATTAAGTTCTGCTTTTCTGATGTATCAAATACTTATGTCATGCAATAAAATGCAAATGAATTACTTAAAAATCATACAATGTGATTTTCTGGATTTTTGTTTTAGATTCCGTCTCTCACAGTTGATGTGTACCTATGATAAAAATTACAGACCTCTACATGCTTTGTAAATAGGAAATCCTGCAAAAACGGCAGTGTATCAAATACTTGTTCTCCCCACTGTATATATACATATACATACAGGGCGTACCGGTACTGAGTCAATGTGCGGGGGCAAAATGAAAAGATACACACAGTGGGGAAAAAAGTATTTAGTCAGCCACCAATTGTGCAAGTTCTCCCACTTAAAAAGATGAGAGAGGCCTGTAATTTTCATCATAGGTACACGTCAACTATGACAGACAAAATGAGAAAAATTATTCCAGAAAATCACATTGTAGGATTTTTTATGAATTTATTTGCAAATGATGGTGGAAAATAAGTATTTGGTCAATAACAAAAGTTTCTCAATACTTTGTTATATACCCTTTGTTGGCAATGACACAGGCAAACGTTTTCTGTAAGTCTTCACAAGGTTTTCACACACTGTTGCTGGTATTTTGGCCTCCATGCAGATCTCCTCTAGAGCAGTGATGTTTTGGGGCTGTCGCTGGGCAACACGGACTTTCAACTCCCTCCAAAGATTTTCTATGGGGTTGAGATCTGGAGACTGGCTAAGCCACTCCAGGACCTTGAAATGCTTCTTACGAAGCCACTTCTTCGTTGCCCGGGCGGTGTGTTTGGGATCATTGTCATGCTGAAAGACCCAGCCACGTTTCATCTTCAATGCCCTTGCTGATGGAAGGAGGTTTTCACTCAAAATCTCACGATACATGACCCCATTAATTCTTTCCTTTACACGGATCAGTCGTCCTGGTCCCTTTGCAGAAAAACAGCCCCAAAGTATGATGTTTCCACCCCCATGCTTCACAGTAGGTATGGTGTTCTTTGGATGCAACTCAGCAATCTTTGTCCTACAAACATGACGAGTTGAGATTTAACCAAAAAGTTATATTTTGGTTTCATCTGACCATATGACATTCTCCCAATCCTCTTCTGGATCATCCAAATGCACTTCAGACGGGCCTGGACATGTACTGGCTTAAGCAGGGGGACACGTCTGGCACTGCAGGATTTGAGTCCCTGGCGGCGTAGTGTGTTACTGATGGTAGGCTTTGTTACTTTGGTCCCAGCTCTCTGCAGGTCATTCACTAGGTCCCCCTGTGTGGTTCTGAGATTTTTGCTCACCGTTCTTGTGATCAATTTGACCCCACGGGGTGAGATCTTGCGTGGAGCCCCAGATCGAGGGAGATTATCAGTGGTCTTGTATGTCTTTCATTTCCTAATAATTGCTCCCACAGTTGATTTCATCAAACCAAGCTGCTTACCTATTGCAGATTCAGTCTTCCCAGCCTGGTGCAGGTCTACAATTTTGTTTCTGGTGTCCTTTGACAGCTCTTTGGTCTTGACCATAGTGGAGTTTGGAGTGTGACTGTTTGAGGTTGTGGACAGGTGTCTTTTATACTGATAACAAGTTCAAACAGGTGCCATTAATACAGGTAACGAGTGGAGGACAGAGGAGCCTCTTAAAGAAGAAGTTACAGGTCTGTGAGAGCCAGAAATCTTGCTTGTTTGTAGGTGACCAAAATTATTTTCCACCATAATTTGCAAATAAATTCATAAAAAATCCTACAATGTGATTTTCTGGATTTTTTTCTCTCAATTTGTCTGTCATAGTTGACGTGTACCTATGATGAAAATTACAGGCCTCTCTCATCTTTTTAAGTGGGAGAACTTGCACAATTGATGGCTGACTAAATATTTTTCCCCCCACTGTGTGTGTGTGTGTGTGTGTGTGTGTGTGTGTATATATATATATATATATATATATATATACACACACACACACACACACACACACACATACATACATACATACACACACACACAGTACCAGTCAAAGGTTTTGGACACACCTACTCATTTCAGGGTTTTCATTTGTACTATTTTCTACATTGTAGAATAATAGTGAAGACATCAAAACTATGAAATAACACATATGGAATGATGTAGTAAACAAAGAAAGTGTTAAACAAATCAAAATATATTTTATATTTGAGATTCTTCAAATAGCCACCCTTTACCTTGATGACAGCTTTGCACACTCTTGGAATTCTCTCAACGAGCTTCATGAGGTAGTCACCTGGAATGTTTTTCAATTAACAGGTGTGCCTTATTAAAAGTTAATTTGTGGAATGTCTTTCCTTCTTAATGCGTTTGATTGAATCAGTTTTGTTGTTACTAGGGGGGGGGGGGAATACAGAAGATAGCCCTATTTGGTAAAATACCAAGTCCATCTTATGGCAAGAACAGCTCAAATAAACAAAGAGAAACAACAGTCCATCATTACTTTAACACATGAAGGTCAGTCAATATGGAAAAGTTAAAGAACTTTTAAATTTTCTTCAAGTGCAGTCGCAAAAACCATCAAGCACTATGATGATACTGGCTCTCATGAGGACCGCCACAGGAAAGGAACACCCAGAGTTACCTCTGCTGCAGAGGATAAGTTCATTAGAGTTACCAGCCTCAGAAATTGCAGCCCAAATAAATGCTTCACAGAGTTCAAGTAACAGACACATCTCAACATCAACTGTTCAGAGGAGACTGTGTGAATCAGGCCTTCATGGTCGAATTGCTGCAAAGAAACCACTACTAAAGGACAACAGTAATAAGAAGAGACTTGCTTGGGCCAAGAAACATGAGCAATGGACATTAGACTGGTGGAAATGTGTCCTTTGGTCTGGAGTCCAAATTGGAGATTTTTGGTTCCAACCGCTGTGTCTTTGTGAGACACGGTGTGGGTGAGCGGATGATTTCAGCATGTGTATTTCCCACCGTAAAGCATGGAGGAGGCGGTGTTATGGTGTGGGAGTGTTTTGCTGGTGACACTGTCTGTGATTTATTTAGAATTCAAGGCACACTTAACCAGCATGGCTACCACAGCATTCTGCAGCAATACGCCATCCCATCTGGTTTGGGCTTAGTGGGACTATCATTTGTTTTTCAACAGGACAATGACCCAACACACCTCCAGGCTGTGTAAGGGCTATTTTACCAAGGAGAGTGATGGAGTGCTGCATCAGATGACCTGGCCTCCACAATCCCCCGACCTCAACCCAATTGAGATGGTTTGGGATGAGTCAGACCGTAGAGTGAAGGAAAAGAAGCCAAAAGCACAGCATATGTGGGAACTCCTTCAAGACTGTTGGAAAAGCATTCCAGGTGAAGCTGGTTGAGAGAATGCCAAGGGTGTGCAAAGCTGTCATCAAGGCAAAGGGTGGCTATTTGAAGAATCTCAAATATAAAATATATTTTGATTTGTTTAACACTTTTTTGATTGCATGTGTTATTTCATAGTTTTAATGTCTTCACTATTATTCTACAATGTAGAAAATAGTAAAAATAGTAGGTGTGTCCAAACTTTTGACTGGTACTATATATATATATATATATATATATATGTCTCCTGTCAAAGCTCAACTCTTCCACAACTTTCAAAGGATATTCATAGAAAGATCACAAATGTATATTCTGAGTCAGATATTTACTTTGTTCCTTACACAAGACTAATTCAAGTACAGAACATAATTTTGGTTTACCTGGGTGCAGGTGAGGGAGCCTCGAAATTGGGTACAGTGCTGTCCAAGTTACGATCCATGTCACTCACTGTTGAGTACAGTCCACTAATTTCCTAGAAAATGTACAATGTATTTTGTTTTAAACTCCTCAACAGACAGGCTTAAACACGCATTTCTGTACATGAAAACCAAAAACCACAGTGGAGGACTAAGTTTATCAAATTCTGGGGCGGTTTCTGGGACATAGATTATGGACAAAGCTTTTTAGTCCAGAACTAGGCTTAATCTGTGTCTGGGAAACGAGACCTCTGACTTCTAATCCATGTCAGGAGTACAGAAATTTTAAGATAGCTAGCTATGTACAGTGAGGGAAAAAAGTATTTAATCCCCTGCTGAATTTGTACATTTGCCCACTGACAAAGACATGGTCAGTGTATAATTTTAATGGTAGGTTTTTTTGAAAAGTGAGAGACAGAATAACAACAAAAAAATCCAGAAAAACGCATGTCAAAAATGTTATAAATTGATTTGCATTTTAATGAGGGAAATAAATATGACCCCTCTGGAAAACATGACTTAGTACTTGGTGGCAAAACCCTTGTTGGCAATCACAGGTCAGACGTTTCTTGTAGCTGGCCACCAGGTTTGCACACATCTCAGGAGGGATTCTGTCCCACTCCTCTTTGCAGATCTTCTCAGAGTCATTAAGGTTGAGGCTGACGTTTGGCAACTCGAACCTTCAGCTCCCTCCACAGATTTTCTATGTGATTAAGGTCTGGAGACTGGCTAGGCCACTCCAGGACCTTAATGTGCTTCTTCTTGAGCCACTCCTTTGTTGCCTTGGCCGTGTGTTTTGCGTCATTGTCATGCTGGAATACCCATCCACGGCCCATTTTCAATGCCCTGGCTGAGGGAAGGAGGTTCTCACCCAAGATTTGACGGTACATGGCCCCGTCCATCGTCCCTTTGATGCGGTGAAGTTGTCCTGTCCCCTTAGCAGAAAAACTCCCAAAGCATAATGTTTCCACCTCCATGTTTGACAGTGGGGATGGTGTTCTTGGGGTCATAGGCAGCATTCCTCCTCCTCCAAACACGGCGAGTTGAGTTGATGCCAAAGAGCTCGATTTTGGTCTCAACTGACCACAACACTTTCACCCAGTTCTCCTTTGAATCATTCAGATGTTCATTGGCAAACTTCAGACGGGCCTGTATATGTGCTTTCTTGAGCAGGGGGACCTTGCGGGCGCTGCAGGATTTCAGTCCTTCACGGCGTAGTGTGTTACCAATTGTTTTCTTGGTGACTATGGTCCCAGCTGCCTTGAGATCATTGACAAGATCCTCCCGTGTAGTTCTATGCTGATTCCTCACCGTTCTCATGATCATTGCAACTCCACAAGGTGAGATCTTGCATGGAGCCCCAGGCCGAGAGAGATTGACAGTTATTTTGTGTTTCTTCCATTTGCGAATAATCGCACCAACTGTTGTCACCTTCTCACCAAGCTGCTTGGCGATGGTCTTGTAGCCCATTCCAGACTTGTGTAGGTCTACAATCTAGTCCCTGACATCCTTGGAGAGCTCGTTGGTCTTGGCCATGGTGGAGAGTTTGGAATCTGATTGATTGATTGCTTCTGTGGACAGGTGTCTTTTATACAGGTAACAAACTGAGATCAGGAGCACTCCCTTTAAGAGTGTGCTCCTAATCTCAGCTCGTTACCTGTATAAAAGACACCTGGGAGCCAGAAATCTTTCTGATTGAGAGGGGGTCAAATACTTATTTCCCTCATTAAAATGCAAATCAATTTATTACATTTTTTACATGCGTTTTTCTGGATTTTTGTTGTTGTTATTCTGTCTCTCACTGTTCAAATAAACCTACCATTAAAATTATAGACTGATAATTTCTTTGTCAGTGGGCAAACGTACAAAATCAGCAGGGGATCAAATACTTTTTTCCCTCACTGTACATTATTTTACCTCAACACGCTTCATATCCTCCTCCAAAAAGTTTAGCTCCTTCTGCAACTGCTCCAGTTGCTGAATGATAAAACACAATGTCACACAATAACAAATGGTTATTTCCTCACAGATTAATACTGTAATCAAATATGGAAAGATATTAAGATGCAATACCAAACAGAGATGGGGCACACCTCTCTTTTATTTCTTCTTGCTTCTTTGAGGAATTCCATTAAGATCTGACGTTGAGCAGCTTGTGATTCCTATGGGAATAAACAGGCAGAGTTAATGGTCGATCGATCAAGGTATGACTATAAAGCCCATTTCTTTTAAAGGCTTTGTCTCAAATTAAATACATTTATCTACACTACCGTTCAAAAGTTTGGGGTCACTTAGAAATGTCCTTGTTTTCGAAAGAAAAGCAAAACATTTTGTCCATTAAAATATCAAATTGATCAGAAATACAGTGTAGACATTGTTAATGTTGTAAATGGCTATTGTAGCTGGAAACTGCTAATTTTTTATGGAATATCTACATAGGCGTACAGAGGCTCATTTTCAGCAACCATCAGTCCTGTGTTCCAATGGCACGTTGTGTTTGTTAATCGAAGTTTATCATTTGAAAAGGCTAATTGATCATTAGAAAACCATTTTGCAATTATGTTAGCACAGCTGAAAACTTTTGAGGTGATTAAAGAAGCAATGGCCAGAAACAAATAACTTTGTTCTGAAACTCAGTCTATTCTTGCTCTGAGAAATGAAGGATATTCCATGCGAGAAATTGCCAAGAAACTGAAGATCTCGTACAACGCTGTGTACTACTCCCGTCACAGAACAGCGCAAACTGGATCTAATCAGAATAGAAAGAGGAGTGGGAGGCCCCGGTGCACAACCGAGCAAGAGGACAAATACATTAGTGTCTAGTTTGTGAAACAGACACCTCACATGTCCTCAACTGGCAGCTTCATTAAATAGTACCCTCAAAACACCAGTCTCAACGTCAACAGTGAAGAGGCGACTCCGGGATGCTGACCTTCTTGGCAGTTACAATGAAAAAGCCATATCTCAGACTTCCCATTTAATCTTTTATTTTTATTGGCCAGTCTGAGATATGGCTTTTTCTTTGCAACTCTGCCTAGAAGGTCAGCATCCCGGAGTCGCCTCTTCACTGTTGACATTGAGACTGGTGTTTTGCGGGTACTATTTAATGAAGCTGCCAGTTGAGGACCTGTGAGGTGTCTGTTTCTCAAACTAGACAATGTATTTGTCCTCTTGCAATGTCTACACTGTATTTCTGATCAATTTGCTGTTATTTTAAATGGAAGAAAAAAATTGCTTTTCTTTCGAAAACAAGGACATTTCTAAGTGACCCCAAACTTTTGAATGGTAGTGTATGTGACATTGCTACATAGCCTACAAGGATAGACCATTACATTCTGAATTTTTATTAAACAGTTATGACAGTTTTTATGAGTGCGCCCCTAACAAAGACGCAGAGGTAGCCTACACACAAATGAGAAGGAGTAGGCTACAATGATCAACCATCAGGTAGGCTGTTGTTTCATATGAATGGAGTTGTAGACATTGGATGAGTAGCGCAGCATAATAGCCTCAATTAGCCTTGTTACTTTAGCTAGCTAGCTGGCTAACTTAGCTGGCTACTGTAGCTAGCTAGCTTCTTTACAACAATTTGATGCAGTCAAGACAGGCACTACCAGATGGTATGATAGATAACCTATGGCAGCAACAAGTTTTTCTAACTAGTGTGAGTCGGTTTGGCTATTTTCTCTCTCTCCCTCCATGCTACACACATAGACTGTCACACACACCAGCCCCTGCTCCTCTCTCACCCCTCTGCTGAAACAAGCAGAGCCCAGCGCACCGGCTCTCTCATGTCGCACGAGTAGGTCTACATTTAAGATTATTATTTTATTTTTTTACATTTTCCCTTAACACACATTTCAACTATCCAGATATCTGAAAATATGTAATGTTATTTGAATACTGAAATCATTTCAAATGCCCATCCCTACTTTATAGGATTCATTTTATGTTAAGCATAAACAAGTGTATATTTGACCAGCAGAAAAAACAGTACAGGGGTTGACAAGGGGTTGTTATGGTTAATGTGGTATAGTTTCAGTGAGGTTAAGGGTTAGGGAAAGGCATAAAAGTTCACATTAGATTAGCGTAAAGTCACCCGCCGCCATTCATTTTCTGCTGGTTAAATATGCATTGCCTAAACAAAATATACATACCGCTTCCAGTTGTTTCTTTTTCTGTACAAGGAGTTCCAGCATCAAGTTGACATTAGCAAGATCTAGGTTCTCTTGGTCTGTGCCAAGGACGTCTTGGAACACTTGCCATCTTGACCCATTCTAAAAACATGAGAAATACACAATGAATTATGTACAAACATTGGTCAATTAAGTTAACTGTTGGGTTCCTTCACTATTACCTTTAAGGGTGGTTTCTTGGCCACAGACTACGCCTAGTCCTGGGATACACTTTTTTTTTTTTTTTACTGTATAATAGAAAAGGCTCCTGCAGAAAATAGCTGATTCACTCATATCCAAAAGCCTACCTATGATTGGGCAGGAGGAATGTAGTAAGGAATATAAATGCATAATGATCTGCATTTTCATTGTGGCAGTAAGGGGAAAACATACTAGACCAGCGTTTCCCAAACTCGGTCCTCGGGACCACAGGGGGTGCACATTTTGGTTTTTGCCCAAACACTACACAGCTGATTCAAATTATCAAAGCTTGATGATTAGTTGATTATTTGAATCAGCTGTGTAGTGCTAGGGCAAAAACCAAAATGTGCACCCCTTGGGGTCCAGAGGACAGAGTTTGGGAAACCCTGCACTAGGCCCATATGAAACCATCTTTAGCCTACTCTTCAGACAACTTTATACACATGGCCTACACACTCACACTCTTTCCCTCTCTCTCTCACACACACACTGGTCCCAAAAGTTAGGCACCAAACAGAATTTAAGGAACACCAGAAAAATAGATAGGAAGCCTCTTCCTTTCTGCTGCACTCAGTTTTTCCTCAGTGAAGCCTAGTCAGACTGGCCTGCTTGTTCTTACGGGCAAAATGAAAAGATACATACAGTGGGGAAAAAAAGTATTTAGTCAGCCACCAATTGTGCAAGTTCTCCCACTTAAAAAGATGAGAGAGGCCTGTAATTTTCATCATAGGTACACGTCAACTATGACAGACAAAATGAGAAAAAATAATCCAGAAAATCACATTGTAGGAGCTGTCAAAGGACACCAGAAACAAAATTGTAGACCTGCACCAGGCTGGGAAGACTGAATCTGCAATAGGTAAGCAGCTTGGTTTGAAGAAATCAACTGTGGGAGCAATTATTAAGAAATGGAAGACATACAAGGCCACTGATAATCTCCCTGATCTGGGGCTCCACGCAAGATCTCACCCTGTGGGGTCAAAATGATCACAAGAACGGTGAGCAAAAATCCCAGAACCACACGGGGGGACCTAGTGAATGACCTGCAGAGAGCTGGGACCAAAGTAACACACTACACCGCCAGGGACTCAAATCCTGCAGTGCCAGACGTGTCCCCCTGCTTAAGCCAGTACATGTCCAGGCCCGTCTGAAGTTTGCTAGAGTGCATTTGGATGATCCAGAAGAGGATTGGGAGAATGTCATATGGTCAGATGAAACCAAAATAGAACTTTTTGGTTAAAAAAATGAATGCTGAGTTGCATCCAAAGAACACCATACCTACTGTGAAGCATGGGGGTGGAAACATCATGCTTTGGGGCTGTTTTTCTGCAAAGGGACCAGGACGACTGATCCGTGTAAAGGAAAGAATGAATGGGGCCATGTATCGTGAGATTTTGAGTGAAAACCTCCTTCCATCAGCAAGGGAATTGAAGATGAAACGTGGCTGGGTCTTTCAGCATGACAATGATCCCAAACACACCGCCCGGGCAACGAAGGAGTGGCTTCGTAAGAAGCATTTCAAGGTCCTGGAGTGGCCTAGCCAGTCTCCAGATCTCAACCCCATAGAAAATCTTTGGAGGGAGTTGAAAGTCCGTGTGGCCCAGCGACAGCCCCAAAACATCACTGCTCTATAGGAGATCTGCATGGAGGAATGGGCCAAAATACCAGCAACAGTGTGTGAAAACCTTGTGAAGACTTACAGAAAACGTTTGACCTGTGTCATTGCCAACGAAGGGTATATAACAAAGTATTGAGAAACTTTTGTTATTGACCAAATACTTATTTTCCACCATAATTTGCAAATAAATTCATTAAAAATCCTACAATGTGATTTTCTGGATTTTTTTTCCTCATTTTGTCTGTCATAGTTGACGTGTACCTATGATGAAAATTACAGGCCTCTCTCATCTTTTTAAGTGGGAGAACTTGCACAATTGGTGGCTGACTAAATACTTTTTTCCACCACTGTATCCACTTTGCTCACGCTGCAAGCCGCCCCAATAATTAAACAAATGTAACAGAAACCCCATCAGTGTCTGTACACCCCAGCTCACCATCACAGCTAAATAACATTTTAAAATGGATGTAGATGCACAGAAAGAACAGACAGAGAGAAGCAGTTGAGTAGGCTAATGGCTAGTTAGGGGATGCAGCTGGCTGCTCACAGCTATCACACGTGATATTGGATGAAGCACTCATTCTGATATGACATATCTGACATCACACTGAACTCTGTTTGATAGTCTATTTGTAGGACGCATAGCGATGAATTCTGTGCTCAGTCATTAATTTCGATATGAGAAACATACACAATTATTTATGCTAGTGATCACATAGGGAAAATATCTGTTCACACCTCTCTTTAATAGCTCAAACGGTGATACACTCTGCGTCTGTGCACTTTTTGTCAGACCCCCCTCCAAAATGTTGTTTTACGGATCTACACGATTCACCCGGATGACCTATTTTGAGACTGAAATAGCATATATAGCCGAAAAGTGACGAGTTTGCATCCCTGGGACTAAGAAGCTTTTTCAAAGGAGATTCTCCATTGAGCTTGCTTTTTAGTCCAAGACTAGGCTTAATCTGTGTCCGGAAAACTAGCCCATAATGTTGTTGTCTGCATTATGTTCTCATGTTGTAATATTTGACCCAGGTCTGGTTTCCAGTGCGTGTGTGTGAGACCTGATTCGCTGGAGCACTTACCGGATGGTCCATCTTCAGACGTTTTTCATCTGATCTCTGTTTTTGTTTGAGAATAAGTTCATTCACTGTATCAAATCAAAACAAGAGTTAGTATTACTATTGAGGAGGAGTGATGTATTAGAAAGGAACAAAGCTTAATTTTTACCAGGGCACATACAAAAGTAGTACACTAAATAGGGAACAGGTTGCTATTTGGGACAAAGCCTGTGACAAGGCTGTAGAGAAGCTAGCTACACCACAGATAATTAATGCACCCATCTACCTATCTAAGAATTTGTTTTGAAACGTCATCTATATCAAGAGAGACAAACCTACCAAGAAAGTTTGGATAGAGCTGATCCACGTTGTCAATGATGTAGTTACATTTTGGGCACCTATTGCTGTCCTCTAAACTCTGGCGAATGCACTTGTAGCTGAACCCAGAAATAGAATGGGGTATGTTAGTTCAAGAAAACCAGCATAGGAAAAAAATGAACGGTGCATTGGTGGACGATACTAAAGGAATTAGCTGAAGCTAATATGAAACGGTACTAAAAGCTATAGGAATTAGATGGATGTAACGTTACTGTCACCTAGCCAATGCCATCATGTTTGCTTACCAGAAACTGTGTCCACATTTTGTCATGTGTGCCTCCTCAATCATTTCAAAACAGATTGGGCTGAAAAGAAAATGTAATGCAACAACATTAACCTTACTTTGACAGTGTTCAGATATGGAAGTATCAGTGAGTCTGGTTAAATGATAACGTTATGCATTTCTGAACTCTAGCTAACCAACTGCCAAATGGATATTGTAAACAAGAATGCACTCCAAAGTTGAACTTGCTAGCTACACAGGTAATTAACGACACCTAGTCAGCAAGCTAGTTACGGTAGTTAGCAAGCTAAATAAATTAGCCAAGTAGCTAGCAAGCTAAATTAGCATGTTGCAGGAAAACTCACCACACAAAATCGTTGCTTTTATCTTCGTAGGAATTCAAGAGACCATTGTAGAGTGGTGCTTGGTGGAGAGGACGTTTTCTGCTGGTGCCAGAGGAGGATGAACTGGATCTGCTTAGTGGGGCTAAGCTTCTTGGAGACTGTACAGCCACTCCAGACACGAGCAACCCCTCGCCAGCTGTTGCCAGAGTCCGCGAGGGCACAACATTTGGAGAATTGTTCATATTCGCACTATCGTCGCCGCCTAACGTTACGCTGGTGGCACCGTTAGCATTGGTAGTGCCACCGGTACTGCTGCTACTCCCAGGCACAGGCCCTGCTCCACCGCCAGTTTGCTGTTGACGGTTGCTTGACATAATTCAAGCCCGATGCTCAACTCTTCCAAGGCCAAAGCTTGTTGTAGTTCACCGCATCCGGGCTGAACTATTGGCTAGCTAATGTTAGCTTGCCAGCTAATGTGGCAATGCGCTAGCTAAGATAAAGCAACAATGTACGAATACATACACGCTTGCTTTTTGCTAGATTGCTTCTTCAGGTGAAATGGTAGGCTTTTGTCCACAAGTCGATCATAACAAAGTTGCAAGAATGATAAAATCTTCAGCACATAGTCTGTCTACAACTAGGGAATTAGAAACCAATCTCTCCAGTCTATCCTCGCTTCCCCAAACGAACCTAAATTACTAGCAAAATATATTTACTGCCCCCTACTGCGCAGGGGTAGTAGCTAAGTCCCACGCAAAGGTGCACCCATGCCTGCATTGAATGAATGCACCCACACCAATAAAATAGGAGATGCAACAAAATGTAGAAAATAATTTATATCAGGTTTTTTCTTACATCTAGGATATTATTGTGTTTTGTAGATTAGTTAAACTTTTGATTGTTTTTACATACACTACCGGTCAAAAGTTTTAGAACACCTAATCATTCAATGGTTGCTATTTTTTTAAACTATTTTCTACATTGTAGAATTATAGTGAAGACATCAAAACCATGAAATAACACATATGGAATCATGTAGTAACCAAAAAAGTGTTTAAAAAAATCAAAATATATTATATATTTGAGATTCTTCAAATAGCCACCCTTTGCCTTGATGACAGCTTTGCACACTCTTGGCATTCTCTCAACCAGCTTCACCTGGAATGCTTTTCCAATAGTCTTGAAGGAGTTCCCACATATGCTGAGCACTTGTTAGCTGCTTTTCCTTCACTCTGCGGTCCGACTCATCCCAAACCATCTCAATTTGGTTGAGGTCTGGGGATTGTGGAGGCCAGGTCATCTGATGCAGCACTCCAACACTCTCCTTCTTGGTCAAATAGCCCTTACACAGCCTGGAGGTGTGTTGGGTCATTGTCCTGTTGAAAAACAAATGACAGTCCCACTAAGCCCAAACCAGATGGGATGGCATATCGCTGCAGAATGCTGTGGTAGCCATGCTGGTTAAGTGTGCCTTGAATTCTAAATAAATCACAGACAGTGTCACCAGCAAAACACTCCCACACCATAACACCGCCTCCTCTATGCTTTACGGTGGGAAATACACATGCGGAGATCATCCGTTCACCCACACCGCGTCTCACAAAGACACAGCGGTTGGAACCAAAAATCTCCAATTTGGACTCCAGACCAATGGACACATTGTGGTCCTCTGTAGCTCAGCTGGTAGAGCACGGCGCTTGTAATGCCAAGGTAGTGGGTTCGATCCCCGGGACCACCCATACACAAAAAATGTATGCACGCATGATTGTAAGTCGCTTTGGATAAAAGCGTCTGCTAAATGGCATATTATTATTATATTATATTATTATTATATTATTATTATATTATATTTATATTTATTATATTATTATATTTCCACCGGTCTAATGTCCAATTGCTCGTGTTTCTTGGCCCAAGCAAGTCTCTTCTTATTACTGTTGTCCTTTAGTAGTGGTTTCTTTGCAGCAATTCGACCATGAAGGCCTGATTCACACAGTCTCCTCTGAACAGTTGATGTTGAGATGTGTCTGTTACTTGAACTCTGTGAAGCATTTATTTGGGCTGCAATTTCTGAGGCTGGTAACTCTAATGAACTTATCCTCTGCAGCAGAGGTAACTCTGGGTCTTCCATTCCTGTGGCAGTCCTCGAGAGAGCCAGTTTCATCATAGCGCTTGATGGTTTTTGCGACTGCACTTGAAGAAACGTTCAATGTTCTTGAAATGTTCCATATCGACTGACCTTCATGTCTTCAAGTAATGATGGACTGTCGTTTCTCTTTGCTTATTGAGCTGTTCTTGCCATATTATGGACTTGGTCTTTTACCAAATAGGGCTATCTTCTGTATACCCCCCTGCCTTGTCACAACACAACTGATTGACTCAAACGCATTAAGAAGGAAATCTATTCCACAAATTAACTTTTAAGAAGGCACACCTGTTAATTGAAATGCATTCCAGGTGACTACCTCATGAGGCTGGTTGAGAGAACGCAAAGAGTGTGCAAAGCTCTCATCAAGGCAAAGGGTGGCTATTTGAAGAATCTCAAATATAAAATATATTTTGATTTGTTTGACACTTTTTTGGTTACTACATGATTCCATATGTGTTATTTCATAGTTTTGATGTCTTCACTACTATTCTACAATGTAGAAAATAGTAGAAAATTAAGAATAAACCTTGAATGAGTAGGTTTTCTAAAACTTTTGACTGATAGTGTATGTATATACTGACATTTTCCCAAAATTCAGTCTGTAAAAATCTGCAAAGGATAGATATTGACAGATATGGTTTTTGTATGAAAGTAGCCTAGGCAAGTTGTGGTGTTGGTAGTGGTGACCATACCTGCCTCATGAAGTTCTGACAGCACACAGCAGAGGGCATGATCACCTCTGCCTCACTCCTCACCAAGGTTTATTCAGGTGACAAGCAAACCAGGCTGTCTATTCACGCTTTATAAAATCTATTTATTTATTCATATATTTTCTTACATATTAATAAACATTGGATTACCTGTTTTTCCATACCTACCCTCATTCAGTCAAAGTGGAGTATTAGGTGTGCATGTAGGTCTGCACAGCATTCACAGCATATCATTTCCCCAATGTTTTCACTTGTGGAACAGATTTATGAACATTTCCCTATGTAGTTAAATTAAGATGGAAAAAGGATATTCAGACAGAGGAAAAATACTGGATATCTTGTAGAATACATGAGTTTGTCTCAAGGACCGCCATGGCAAATGTTTATTCTTCCCTGTATTTTGTATGTGCATTCATTTCTTTCAATTTATGATATTTTTGTATATCACTGCAGCAAATTGATGCCAAGCAATGTTTTATTGGGAAGATAGGTAGTCCTACCAGTACTGTTGAACGGGTTTGGAAAAAATCCCAAAACAGAGGCTAGAAATGCAACAACAAAAAATTGTCATGATCCCTAAAAAGTGAAAGGTACAAAAGTGCATAAAGTGAGAAGGTACTAAGAAACAAAAGTTTCCATTACTTAACCATCATCAAGATAGAGCCTACTCTTTGTCATCTCATACAAAAACAATATTAGTACCGTATTGTTCACATTTGAAACACAAATGAGACAGTTTAACTATCTTTAAGTAAACTATTTTCAATTACAACATACAGGCAGAATGCATTCACTACTCACACAACAAAAAGTAGCCCACACCTGCTACACATTTTTTTCCCCCTATACTGTTGATTTGAATGTTATTTTATCATTTGTTTTACTGTGTTATACAGTTTGCGAAACAACATTATAATTTGACTTGGTAAATGACCTATTAAGTTACATTTGCCTTCAAACAATTGTGGGCCCCCTCTTCCATTTTCTACCAATGTTCTTGAAAGTGTGTTTTTTTCCCCCCCTCCCTCTCTCCATTTGTCTAGCACATCAGGTTGGATTTTCCCCATTCTGTTTCTGGTCACTCAGATTGTGGTATAGGGGTTGGGGTTGGGTAGGCTCAAATGAAGGATAATCTCCTAGAGGTCCTTTGCAGTGGGGGGTGAGGCCCGGCAGCAGCCATTCACTTTTTTTAGACAGTTGCAGCAGGATCTCAAAGCACTTCGATAAAAAAGCAGAATGTTTTGCAGGCAGATCCTCAGGCTGGTTGTGGAATTCTTGCCTCCCACTGTTAGGAACCTTTTTACCCATTAAGGGGCCCCTGCCATAACTGCCAGTTGCTTCAAGCTGGGCTGTTTGCAAATTGAGCCTGACAAAAATAGTGGGGGTGAGAAAATGGGTGCATTTAGACATATAACAGCTGCAATTCTGCGTTTTGATCAAAAAATAGGTATGATGTCTAGTAAGTTAGTTACATGAGTGATACGGTCCAAATTCTATTACTTTGTGAGCTCGGTGGGACTGGTACACCTGCACAGTAATTTTTCTTTTAAAAAGCGGAATTGAATAATGAAAATGCTAAATAGTATTTTACCAATAGTCTTTGTCGCATCTTGTCACCCTAGTGTTTAGCTCACTGTAACAAAGTGAACTGGTTCAAATCTAAAGACGCACCCCAGGTGATATTGGTGATAAGAGGTGGGGTAGATGATCGTGATCAGGCCACGATTAGAAGAGGCATGGCGAGATGGTTCCGGGACTTCCTATAGCAGTCCTGTGGTGTCATTGGTAGTAAAGTGGATGAGAAGAGAACACCCACAAATTCAACCACACACAATGGCAGTAAAAAAAAGTTCAGGGGCCAATAAACAATTTAACTTTGGGACAGATTTAATAACATTTACCAGTCCGTTTCTGTAGTTGAACATCCTATCACATTCTAATAATATTTTTGTCCTAAGGCAAAGTCATCAACACAGTTTACTTTAGAGAGGCTCCCACATAGGATGATGCATATGTTTCTCATAAAAGTTAAAGCCCATCTTAAACTTTTACTGTGGCAACAAGATCATTTAGTTTAAATTATGGACATGGTTTTTATAATGCAAGTTATAACTAAATGCAATATTTTGATTTATCTTATGTCTTAATGCTGTAAAAAGCTCAGGTTTCTGCTGTAGCAAGAGGTTTTCAAGCATCCACAAGATGACATTCTATACTGGTTCGCTCCAGGGTAGGGTCAAGTGGATTGAAAAAGAACAGGAAACAATGGGCAATTTTCAATTCATTAATTCAAATTCAATTCAGAAACTGAACTGAATTGACCCCAACCCTGGTGAGCTCAGTTAGCAGGTGCATCAAATTATATAGCACTAGTGATTCCAAGCATAAGCACTCTAGTTTTTTACCATACCAACTTTACCATACATAACAATTTAGGCTATGGAGGTAGCCTGCACATATGGCATGCTCGTTTTTATTCCAAGTAATTAAATAAATAGGTTTATCATTTTTTATGTGTCAAACAGATGTGCTGTGTGTGAGAGAGTGGTGTTCGTATGGTGTGAGCCTCAGCCAGAATCACTGTTCAGTGGCTGTGGTGGGGCACTAGACTGACTGTTCATAAAAGTGCCTGAAAACATACAGTTAAGGAGTACGGACAGTGCACACAACTCGACGTCAATGAGTGACTGCCTGGATAGAGAGAAAGGTTTCCTTTCTTCACTAATGTGTGTAGGGGCAGGGTTAGTGATGTCAGTCTGAGAGTAACAGATAAAAAGTTTCAGCGCGTTGGTTTGATCTTCTGAATAGGCTATGAAGGAGAGCGAGACAGGCGGTTCATCTGCGCAGAAAATATATCCACAATACAAGAGGACTTTACGCGCGCTTGAAGGTGATTTAATGAACAATTTTTTCTTTGGAGTCTCTCTCAACAGGACCAGCAGAGCGTTTAGTCTGATTCTCATTGATTTGATCTTACCTCTTGTCTCATACCTTGGACTGTTACTTTGTAACTACATTTAGAGAAAGGAAATAGCACATAAAAAACAATAGACAATAGTTTATGGTTAGGTTACTTATATTTCTGTCATTGTGTAGCCTATGACTGCATTTAATTTAGTTGCACCTGAGGTTTATCTTTCAGTAAAGCTTACCTTTACTCTATGTGACTTTATAGTATAGTCCTTGAATGAGAAATATTGGCTTAAAAACCGCAGCCAGCTTGTTCATTGTTTTGGCCACCCCTGAATCCTTCTCACAGGGTGAATTTTAAGTTAACAACAACGGGCACTATCGAAAATAGCGCACAAGGAAGAGATTGGTGGCAAGACCTGAAGGCAAGACCTGAAATAACCTTTATTTTGCGCGGAATGGATGAAAACATTGAAAGCATCACGTGAGTGATCCCATATTTTAAAGAAGAAAAAGAGAAAACCCACCAGGGACAATAGTCTTCCAACTGAATTCTATGGACAAGCAGGTCGACTGATAGTAACAAAAATTGATGCTGTAAAATACAGTAGCCTAATGACAATACTTTCATCCTATTCAGTCAGGCAATATTATGGCAGGTTGCTCTGACCGTCACTTTCCCTAAAAAAAGTGGCCCGTTCACAGTGCAGCAGGTTTCAAAGGCGAGTTGATGGGATGCGCGGAGGGGAGGCTAGATGAGAGGCAAGTTATAGTTTTCTTTTGACCTGCGAAATAGCCAGAAGCTTTTATAAACCAAATATACATTGAACCGCAATAGGCTGAAGATTTTGCGCTCAGTCAATGTAACATACTGCTAGAGTTCCCTCTTTGAGTGCACTGACAGGCTTCTATTTAGCTACTTTTTGAAGTCTGACAAACCTGCCTTGTAAACACGTTAATTAAATTGGTAAATGCCTAAGGGGCATTGACTGCGTTGCACTAAATAGACCAGCCCCCAAAAAATTGGCAATTGCTTATGCAATTGGATTTATTATAATACTATTAGTTGAGAAATAAACAGTTACCCAGCTATCACTCGTTTATTTAATGGGGAATAGGTGGTTTAATCACATCTGATCTTGCTGCTGGTGTTTTCAACTTTATATCTAAGAAGGCAGGGTTCCAGAACTGAAAACATTCCAAAACAACAATTCTAAATCTAAACTCCAAAATGTTGTATGTCAGACTACTGGCCGCTGTCCTCATAATGATCAACACATGGCTGCTAAACTCTGCTCAATTAGATCATATCCGAAGATACAAACGCACAATGGCTCAGAGAGCTGATAGTGAACTGGCTCACTTAGCAAGTGAACAGTGCAGGTCCACCAGACAACCGAGACAAGCAGCATACTCATCATCAGTTCCACATCTCCCTCCAGTGGCTCACCCAAGGAGATACACCACAAGGCAAAGTGTTCTCTATCATATAACTCCTCTTGAGGAGTCCTCTTGTTCAGGTGGGTGCAATTCTGATGCTAATTCTAACCCGGGACTGGATAGTGCCTCTCATTGGGGCAACGGTGAGAAGAAGGTTGGTCGGGGAAACTCAGAGGCAGTGCTACCCAAAGACAAGAAGGATAGTCATGTTAAGATTATAGGGATGGTCAGTTCTCCTCGCCCCAACTCCAGCAGAAAGCCTCCCAGTCGGGCTGAAGTGACAGTGGACTCAAACAGTGACAATGACAAACCAGAGGTTGATGGTGGGCGCTCTGAGGGCCCACACAAGCAGCTGCTGCTCAAGAAGCAGCAGAGAGTTCTGACTGGAAGGGTCCGCCGTAGCCTGGCAGTCTCACATGGTGAAGACAGTTGGGCAGCTTTCCCTGAGAACGTAGTAAACTCCCGCGGGATATTCTCTACATTTTGGCAGCACAGTGACTATTCTGCTGAGAGTGAGGACTACGCTGAGGAGCAGGAGGGACCACCTAGCCCCGGCCGTGCCAGCACGTTGTGGGGTGCCCAGATTCCAGACATCCCCCCTAAGTGGATGTCTGCTTTGTACTTTAATGGACAGAAGGAACAACTGAGGGTCAATCCAGCAGCTGGCATTGAGCTTCCTCGAGCTAAATTCAGTGTTGAACTGTGGGTTAACCCAGAGGGTGGGCAGACTAACCCAGCCATCATAGCAGGTGAGTGATATTCCAAAACCTCTCTTTCTCTCATTGTTAAAGTGTTAAAAGTGTTACAAGTTTCAAATTCAGTATATAGACAACAAATGGCATAGTTGGGCAGATGAGAGAAATTGTGAAGTCAGCCATTATGAGGTGCAAATGGGTTAAGGGGTGGAATGTTACAGACACAAATGGCCACCACCTGCAGTCTTGTTGTTTTGACATCACTTTTTGAGAGGTTTAATGCTCAGTCACAGGCTACCCAGCAAATAGATTCATTGCCACATGTGATGATAACTTCAATAAAAAAATATAAAGTTGTCCCAATCATTTGATTTATATCAAAACTAAATTCCTGGATATTTTTCCCAAGCCTTGAAGTTTTGTCGTTTCCTCTGCTGTCTGTAGGTGGGATAAATCAAAGATATTTGGCCTTGGTGTTCACCAAAAGTGACAAACGTCAAACAGTAGGAGTAAACTGAAGTGCAAGGTTTTGTGGAGGTTCAATACCAGTGGTGTAAAGTACTTAAGTAAAAATACTTTAAAGTACTACTTAAGTAGTTTTTTTGTGTATCTGTAATTTACTTTACTATTTATATTTTTGACAACTTTTACTTTTACTCCATTACATTCCTAAAGCAAATAATGTACTTTTTACTCCATACATTTTTCCTGACATCCAAAAGCACTCGTTACATTTCAAATGCTTAGCAGGACAGGAAAATTGTCAAATTCATTCACTTATCAAGAGAACATCCCTGATCATCCCTACTGCCTCTGATTTGGCGGACTCACTTAACACAAATGCTTAGTTTGTAAATTATGTCTGAGTGCTGGAGTGTGCCCCTGGCTATCGGTAAATTAAAACAACAAGAAAATATTGCGGTCTGGTTTGCTTAATATAAGGACTTTTAAATTATTTATACTTTTACTTTTACTTTTGATACTTAAGTATATTTTAACAATTACATTTACCTTTGATACTTAAGTATATTTAAAACCAAATACTTTTAGACTTTTACTCAAGCAGTATTTTACTGGGTTACTTTCACTTTTACTTGAGTCATTTTCTATTAAGGTATCTTTACTTTTACTCAAGTATGACAATTGGGTACTTTTTCCACCACTGTATAGATCAAATTGTTATTGATAGTGTAGGCCTACTCTCCTCGTATCCTGCAGGCAATGTACCCACGCTAGTCTAATGCTGCATTCATAACCAAGTGGGAAGGTGGTAATTACCAGTTGTGAAGTCGTAAATACCAGTTGGATGCATTCACGTGCTTTGAACTCATTGACAAACGCTGATTGGCTAATGGCCCACAAGCTGCATCAACCATAAACTAAAAGTACAGCTATCATGCTTGTAAACCAATTATAGTGTTCAAAAGCCATATTAATAGATTGCTTTTCATAAATTATGTTTTTTTATTACATTTAACTGGTGAAAATGCATTTGGGAGAAGTCAGATGTCAACATTTGGGAGAAGTCGGAGCTCAGGTTTTCCCATGGTGTCCCACTAGTAATTACGAGTTGGAGGGGCATTCAAGTGGATTTTTCCCAGTCACACTGTATGTGGTTAATACCACCGTCCCACTTGGTTATGAACGCAGCATGACAGCAGGATAAGGATAAAGGTTGAAGGCAATATGATATAGGCAATATTAATTCATTATTTCACACTTCTATTTTGATTGAAATAACAGAAGTTGGATGTCAGAATTGGGATGTCATTTACTGAATAATGTAGAAAATAGCCAGGAGCAATGATTGAACCAAGGACCTTACACATGTAAAACTAACATGCTAGGCAACCACAAGAGGCACAATGCCTGCAGGTTTTCATCCTTGTCTTTTAATCAGGACTGGAGGAAGCAGGTGGGTAGATTCCCTGACCAATGACATCAATTGCTCAATTAAGGCAAATTTCCGATTGAGCCGGCAGCATATGCAGCGTTTACCGTGAATGCGGTCTCTGCGAATGCGAGAACATTACCTTTATTATTATTATTATTTTTAAGTTGCATAGCCGACAAAGTGCGATTGTATTGTATCCCGGCCTAAGAATCATAGAGAATAGAACACCCCTTACCAACCCATCTATGCCATTGCAATTCTGAAAATAGCCACACTTAGACATTTACATTTACATTTTAGTCATTTAGCAGACGCTCTTATCCAGAGCGACTTACAGTTAGTGAATACATCTTTTTTTTTATACTGGCCCCCCGTGGGAAACGAACCCACAACCCTGGCGTTGCAAACGCCATGCTCTATCAACTGAGCTACATCCCTGCCGGCCATTCCCTCCCCTACCCTGGACGACCTGGGCCAATTGTGGCGCCGCCCATGAGTCTCCCGTTGTCGGCCGGCTGCGACAGAGCCTGGATTCGAACCAGGATCTAGTGGCACAGTTAGCACTGCGATGCAGTGCCTTAGACCACTGCGCCACTCAGGAGTGGCTATAGTTGTGTTTAGTAGGACTGTAGATAGCTAAGTACTGTAGCTACACCTCTTTTCGGAAGAGCTCATGCTTCCACCACCTTTCAGTTGTCCCTCTTTCCGATTTTATTTTGTTTTTGTTTTCCTCTTCACATGTAACTTATACAGTGGCTTGCGAAAGTATTCACCCCCCCCCCCCCCCCCCCCCCCCCCCCCCCCCTTGGCATTTTTCCTATTTTGTTGCCTTACAACCTGGAATTAAATTGGATTTTTGGGGGGTTTGTATCATTTGATTTACACAACATACCTACCACTTTGGAGATGCAAAATGTTTCTGGCCACTCTTCCGTAAAGCCCAGCTCTGTGGAGTTTACAGCTTAAAGTGGTCCTATGGACAGATACTCCAATCTCCGCTGTGGAGCTTTGCAGCTCCTTCAGGGTTATCTTTGGTCTCTTTGTTGCCTCTCTGATTAAAATGCCCTCCTTGCCTGGTCCGTGAGTTTTGGTGGGCGGCACTCTCTTGGCAGGTTTGTTGTGGTGCCATATTCTTTCAATTTTTTAATAATGGATTTAGTGGTGCTCCGTGGGATGTTCAACGTTTTGGATATTTCTTTATAACCCAACCCTGATCTGTACTGTGCCGCTTGCTTGGTGGTGCCCCTTGCTTAGTGATGCCCCTTGCTTAATGGTGCCCCTTGCTTAGTGGTGCCCCTTGCTTAGTGGTGTTGCAGACTCTGAGGCCTTTCAGAACAGGTGTATATATACTGAGATCATGTGACAGATCATGTGACACTTAGATTGCACACAGGGGGACTTTATTTAACTAATTATGTGACTTCTGAAGGTAATTGGTTGCACCAGAACTTCTTTAGGGGCTTCATAGCAAAGGGGGTGAATACATATGCACGCACCACTTTTCCGTTATTTAATTTTTTTCATTTCACTTCACCAATTTTGACTATTTTGTGTATGTCCATTACATGAAATCCAAATAAAAATCCATTTAAATTACAGGTAGTAATGAAACAAAATAGGAAAAACACCAAGGGGGATGAATGCTTTTGCAAGGCAATGTATTAATCATGGCCTACAATCTTTGGCCTCAATCTTTAGTGACTCTCATGTGACATTTGACAATTAGTTTATTCCACATTTATATCATCATTTGTTTTTCTATAAAATGTATTAATTCCTGCTCCGGTTTTGATTGGCAAATTTACCATAGCATTTGACCAGATAAGTAGACAGACTAGTTTTATTCTCTACTATTATAAATCCGTCCCTCTATTGTTGCCAGATTATAGTATCAAGACTTTTACTTGGCAGAGATGCTGTGTTCTAACCACTACTTTGAGTGAATTAAATCTTAACCATGAAATTGGCCCACCCTCCTAAGGGATATTTTGTTACAATGTTTTCAATATCCAAAACATTTCTGAGTTTTTGTGTGTACAGTGTGTATGGAATGAGGGGGAAGGGATTCCCTGACCTTTAACTGTCCCAGCATAGAACATCTGGAAGCCAGATGTGATTCTCTCTTTCTGAGAAACAGCTGGGAATCAGTGCCTTCGTTTAGGGAAATACCTTCAACCCCTCAACTCTCTAGGTAATTTGGCATTAATTATATTGGAAGAAGATGCTCGATGTTTGTCTTTTTGCAAAATAATATTTGTATTCCTTTTGTGCAGGGGTTTTTGACAACTGCTCCAACTCCTTAAGTGAGAAAGGATGGTCCGTAGGTATTCGCACAGTAAAGCCAGGGGGAAGAAAAGATGCCAGATTCTTTTTTACACTCCGTACGGACCGAGCTCCCAAAGCTACCACTATCTACGGGCATCAGCGCTACCACCCTAACTCCTGGACTCACCTGATGGCCAGCTACAATGGCCACAAGATGACCCTCTACATAGATGGTGCCAAGGTTGGGGAGAGCAGTTTGCAGTCTGGTAACCTCTACAGCCCGTTCATGGAGACCTGTCGAACACTTCTTCTCGGTGGGGACCAGTCAGACCTTGGGCACAACTTCCGAGGGCACATCAGAGGCATTGTGTTATGGGTGCTCCCTCGCACTCATGAGGACCTCCTTAAAGGGCCTTCTCGGATTGATAAGAGGAAACCAAACCTCGCTCTCTGGGCGGACTTCTCCAAGGTAGAGCAACAGTGGAGTCCTCATAAGGAGGGCTACCACCCGTCCATAGTCATCATCCCTATCCCTGAGCAGGAACATGTGTCTCCCTTCCTGCCCCCTCCCTGTGGATTAACAGCCTGTGACAACACAGACATCATCCTCGGCTACAATAACCACTGGCAGCTGCGCACAGAGAAAAGGATCCGCTACCGCATTGTCAACATCTGTAAGGACGACAGAAGTCATCCCACTGTCTCCCAGGCCCAGATCCAGATGCAGCACCAGGCACTTGTCGAAGCCTTCCGGTCCTACAACATCAGCTTTGAGCTGAGCACACATACTGTCCAGAACACATCTCTACGCCAGCGCTTCATCCTCAGCAACTGCCGGATCAGTAAGATTGGGAACAGGCACTGTGACGCGGAGTGTGACCATCCACTGACGGGCCACGATGGTGGGGATTGTCTGCGTCTGGGGCCCTGCTACAACTGGAAGAGGCGGGATGGCGTCTGCAACACAGAGTGCAACAGCATCCACTACGACTACGATGATGGAGACTGTTGTGATCCTGAGGTCACAGATGTCCTGAAGACATGCTTCGATCCAGAGTCCCCAGACAGGTGAGACATTTTCTTTCAATTTGTTTTTGGCAGGGATCCTTAATCCTGCTCCTAGAGAGCCACAGCAGTACTGCAGGTGCTCGTCCCAACAAAAACACAGATTCCTCTAATCAAGGTGTTGAAGATCAGTTGAATGGTTGAAAATGTATATACAGTTGCTGTTTTGGGAAATTGTCCCAATCGTCTGAACGTATGAATTAGTCACAAACAATACAGTTATGCATTTCGAGGTCCAGAGCAATCTCCTATCTAATTTCAAATGAAGTTAATGGGTTTATAATGGTGTTCTTTACTAGTTCTGACAAAGAAAAAAGTGCTGCGTCTGTCATCCTTAGCCTCCCTTAGCTACTGCAACCAGAAAAGTGGTGCTGCCTGCTCCTGTATTTATGGGACTTTGTGGATGTTGTGAGTTTTTAACGATAATGACAGTAATGATATTGAGGCTCTACAGAGGCCTTGGGAGCTTAATGCCTAATTAGCAATGTCTTGATTCACTAAAGAGGCCTTAAGTGTCTGTCTTCAGGGTACTTTGTTTTTACATTTTACATTTTAGTCATTTAGCAGACGCTCTTATCCAGAGCGACTTACAGAAGCAATTAGGGTTAAGTGCCTTGCTCAAGGGCACATCGACAGATTTTTCACCTAGTCGGCTCGGGGATTAGAACCAGCGACCTTTCGGTTACTGGCACAACGCTCTTACCCACTAAGCTACCTGCCGTTTTGTTAGGGTATGTGTATTACACAACATGTGAGGCACACAAATTGAAACTCTAGAACAGTTTCCGAAAGCATGTGAAACTGGGAATGGAGAGAGAAGCCAAAGTATACGCTTATTATCGCTAAACAACGAAACCAGAAGTCTCCTCCGCTCCGTTCTATTCTTTTTGACAGGCAGGCTTATTTGGGTTTCAAACAAAATGCATGATGTCTTGCCATAATGTCGTTCTTCCTTAATAGTGCACAGCATGTAGGTAGAAATACTTAACCTGCGATTGTTGTCTGATCCATTTCACAGATGTGATACAAATCAATAAATGTTTTACAATTTCCTGAAGAATACAATTTCCTGTAGATGATATAGTCTACCTTCATTGTTTTTTGTAATATAAACTTAAAAGTTATTTTCAGGTTCAAACTTATTGGTGATACATTCCCAAACTGATTATGGTAATGAATTGCTATTGATATGATAATTAAACATTTTAATTTGAAGCAATATTGCAATGAGTTTGGGGTACCTGTCCAACAGAAACAGTGACTTTCTCTTCACAATGAGGCATACTGTATTAGTAGTTTCCTAGTTGGTAGTTGGTAGTGGTGTGTCTTTTAGGTAGGGAGTTGTCAGACAGAGTCCATAAACGGTTCAAAATGTATTCCCACAGAGATGAATTGGGCACTAACAATACATTTGGAGTACAATCAGTCAATGTGTTGTTTTGCACAGAGAGCGAGGGCTGGTATTTGTACCTTAAAGAGCAACAACAGCAGCTACAAAGCCAGGCCCCAGACAGATATAAAAGTAAGTGTCGGAAAGGCATGAGCGTAGAACTGACTTCTGATTTATAGCTTGCAATGATGTAATCTCTCTCAATTACTTGCCAAAGTTTTTCCAACCTCTTACTCTTCCCTTAAACTGTATGAATGGCGAATCCACCAGAGATGCAAATGCTTAATAAAACACGTCTCTCTGGAATATCTGCAGTGTAGCCTAGGTCTTTAAAAGGTCCTGACCTGAGCTGGTTGGAAGAGTGCAATCCCTGGACTGCAATCCAGAGTTTTAGGATAATTAATGCAGGGATGACATTTTGATGGCATTTGTAGAGAGTACAATTTTATGTTTGGGTCTGGGATTGTGGTATTTTTCTGTCTGAGTTATTGTCCAGGTATCTGCAGCTGGGCAATAGAATTCAATCCCTAGCCAATTGCTGTCACTACACAAATTTGTTGTTCAAGCAGACAGAGAGACAGCCATGAGGAATGGCCAGGTACATGAAGATTTTGGCCACACATGACAGAGAAAGGAAAAATGAGGAGGACATTTTAGCCATTAATGCTGTGATATTCCCCTGCCGCTGAGGGGATCCAGAACTGGTGGTTTGAATCCGTTTGTGAGGCAAACTAGGTGGTTCTCAAAAATCCCTTTTTCTCCAACAATGAAAGGACATTTGGAAAAAGTTACATGGCCTTTGAGAACAGTTCTACAGTCCTAATTCAGATTTTGAACATAATTCTATCAAATTTGTACAGTATAATAATTTTGTAGAAAATAGGCCTACTGTATTACGTAATGTAATACCCCCTTTCCAGGTGTATTTTTTGGAGTGCCAGTGTTGCAAGAAGTTTGTCTATGAATAACAAATCAAATCAAATTTTATTTGTCACATACACGTGTTTAGCAGATGTTATAGCGGGTGTAGCGAAATGCTTGTGCTTCTAGCTCCAACAGTGCAGTAATATCTAACAATTTCACAACATATACCCAATACACACAAAAAAGTAAGGAATGGGATTTAAGAATATATACATATATGGACAAGCAATGACAGAGCGTCATGGACTAAGATACAGAATCATATTATAGAATAGAATGCAGTATATACATATGAGATGAGTAGTGCAAGATATGTAAACATTATTAAAGTGACTAGTGTTCCATTTCTTAAAGTGGCCAGTGATTTCAATAGGCAGCAGCAGCCTCTAATGTGCTAGTGATGGCTATTTAACAGTCTGATGGCCTTGAGATAGAAGCTGTTTTTCATTCTCTCGGTCCCAGCTTTGATGCACCTGTACTGACCTCGCCTTCTGGATGATAGCGGGGTGAACAGGCAGTGGCTCGGGTGGTTGATGTCCTTGATGATCTTTTTGGCCTTCCTGTGACATCGGGTGCTGTATGTGTCTTGGAGGGCGGGTAGTTTGCCCCCGGTAATGCGTTCGGCAGACCGCACCACCCTCTGGAGAGCCCTGCGGTTGTGGGCGGTGCAGTTGCCGTACCAGGCAGTGATACAGCCCGACAGGATGCTCTCAATTGTGCATCTGTAAAAGTTTGTGAGGGTTTTAGGTGATAAGCCAAATTTCTTCAGCATCCTGAGGTTGAAGAGGCTCTGTTGCACCTTCTTCACCACACTGTCTGCGTGGGTGGACCATTTCAGTTTGTCGGTGATGTGTACACCAAGGAACTTGAAGCTTTCCACCTTCTCCACTGCGGTCCCGTCGATGTGGATAGGGGGGTGCTCCCTCTGCTGTTTCCTGAAGTCCACAATCATCTCCTTTGTTTTGTTGATGTTGAGTGAGAGGTTATTTTCCTGGCACCACACTCCCAGAGCCCTCACCTCCTCCCTGTAGGCGGTCTCGTCATTGTTGGTAATCAAGCCTACTACGGTTGTGTCGTCTGCAAACTTGATGATTGAGTTGGAGGCGTGCTTGGCCACGCAGTCATGGGTGAACAGGGAGTACAGGGCGGGGTTCAGACCCAGGGCCTCAAGCTTAATGATGAGCTTGAAGGGTACTATGGTGTTGTATGCTGAGCTATAGTCAATGAACAGCATTCTTACATAGGTATTCCTCTTGTCCAGATGGGATAGGGCAGTGTGCAGTGTGATGGAAATTGCATCGTCTGTGGATCTATTGAGGCGGTAAGCAAATTGAAGTGGGTCTAGGGTGACAGGTAAGGTAGAGGTGATATGATCCTTGACTAGTCTCTCAAAGCACTTCATGATGACAGAGGTGAGTGCTACAGGGCGATAGTCATTTAGTTCAGTTACCTTTGCTTTCTTGGGTACAGGAACAATGGTGGCCCTCTTGAAGCATGTGGGAACAGCATACTGGGAAAGGGAGATATTGAATATGTCCATGAACACACCAGCCAGCTGGTCTGCGCATGCTCTGAGGACGCGGCTAGGGATGCCGTCTGGGCCGGCAGCCTTGCGGGGGTTAACATGCTTAAATGTCTTAATCACGTTGGCCATGGAGAAGGAGAGGCCACAATCCTTGGTAGTGGGCCTCGTCAGTGGCACTGTGTTATCCTCAAAGCGGGCGAAGAAGGTGTTTAACTTGTCTGGAAGCGAGACGTCGGTGTCGGCGACGTGGCTGGTAGAGTTCTCAACTGACTGAATTTTGTCCATAGCTGTACTGAATGTATTCTATCAGCCAAAATAGTGCTTCAGAATGTAGAATTCAACATAAACAACCAATACTTTATTATTACAAACTATCAATCCATTGTCTATATTTCATATGTTATATGTATTATGAAACTCATTTGACCTAATGCTGAATTGGAGCACTCAAGCAGATTGACATAGCGTTTGCTTGTTTAATGAAACCTGGATGTAAGGCAAACTACACTTGGTCAGTTCTTGAGTGGAACACATCCAAGAAACAGTAGGTGGTTCAACTAATGGGCTAGACCCTTTGGCAGGTTTCAAAAGGGCATACCTTTTCAAACGAATGGGCCAGTGATAGGTGGAAAGGCTTTCCAGCTATAAAAGCAAAAGTGAAAAATGACATGTGACATAATCTAGAAACAAGTTCACTTCACACATCAAAGCAGTTCTATGGCAATTTATCACAGTTGGGAGTGGGGGGAAGTGGAAGGTAGTGGTTTCATGTAGCTACCCAAACCAATTCAAACTATGTTGTTTTGGAAGTAGTAGAATTGGATGTAGAACGAGAGAAGTGGAAATGAACTCCCAGAAGATGAGCTACTTTCTCATCAGGAGTTCCTCTGACTAGACTACTTGACTTGAATGTTACAAAATGTCTATTTTCTCCGTTGAGCACCACAACATACTGTAGGACTTTTTCACCACGATGTCATGGGATCCGATCTACAGTCAGGTACATAATTATTGGCACCCTTGATAAAGATTAGCAAAAAATACTATAAAATAAATACAAATACTGAGCTATTTTGTATGCTCAAAAACATAAAAAATGTATGTTTTACACTAATACAATAGAGATTTTGTTAAAAAATTAATAAAACAAATCTAAAAAAAGATACGGGTCAAAATGATTGGCAGCCCTGTACTTTAGCACCCTCCCCTTGCGAGGATAACAACACTGAGCCTTTTCTCAAATGTTTTATGAGATTGGAGAACACATTGGGAGGGATCTTAGACCATTCCTCCATATAGAATCTTTCCAGATCCTTGATATCCTTTGTCTGAGATTAAGGACTGCCCTCTTCAATTCAAACCACAGGTTTTCAATAGGATTAAAGTCCAGAGACTGAGATGGCCATTGCAAAATGTAGATTTTTTGGTCAATTAACCATTACTTTGTGGATTTTGATGTGCTTCGGGTTATTGTCTTACAGGAAGATACACTTGCAGCCAAGTTTCAGCCTCCTGGCAGAGGCAACCAGGTTTTTGGCTAAAATGTCCTGGTACTTTCCTGGTTAAGTTCATGATGCCATTGATCTTTGATGATAAGGGATCTTTGATCCAGGGATAGGGACTATTTTGTATCCAGTGGTCCTGGGGCCCTTGTTAAGGTCAACAGCATCATGACGGCCTTTGCCAGGAGGCTGAAACTTGGCCGCAAGTGGATCTTTCAGCAATACAATAACCCGAAGCACATCAAAATCCACAAAGAAATTGTTAATTGGCCACAAAATCATCATTTTGCAATGGATATCTCAGTCTCCGGACTTGAACCCAATTGAAAACCTGTGGTTAATACAGGGGTGCCAATATTTTTACCCTTATCTTTTTAGATTTTTAAAAATTACTTGTTAAACAAAATATCTTTCTCTGAGCAATTGTATTAGTATAACATAATAATTTCCCCAAAATTTGAGCATACAATATAGCTCAGTATTTGTATTATTTATTTTATATAGTATTTTTTGTTCATCTTTATCAAGGGTGCCAATAATTATGGACCTGACTGTGTGTGTTTCTGGGAGTTCATTGATTCTACACCTGTGTTGTCTGATATTTTCACAGGGTATTTGAAACTGTATACCGTTGCTATTTACTGTAGGATTGTGTGAACAAACTGTCCAATTGGCCTAGACTAAAAGCAGGGAATGCAAGAAAAAAATTATACTAATGACACATACTTCTTCTCCTTGCTGCAGAGCCTATATGAGTGTAAAGGAACTGAAAGAGGTGTTGCACCTGAGCAGCACAGACACCCTCAACGTTTTCTTTGCCAACAACTCAGCCCGTGAAGAGTTAGCAGGGACCGCAACCTGGCCATGGGCAAAGGAGGCCCTCAACCATCAGGGTAAGCTACTGCTATACCCCTTCCTTCTGTCTTTACTTGAATCAAACACAAAAATCATTGAGCTACAAAATGATATGCATGCTATAACATGCCAAACTGGATTACATTGACTTCTATTAGGTTAGAAAGTACACAAAAATGTTACACAAAAGTAAAACGCAGAAGAGGAGCAGGTAGGAATTGCCTTTGTCTTCAGATTCTCTCTCCTCCCGCTCCCTCAATCTCCCCCTCCTTCACTCTCCCCCTCTCCCTCACTCACTCTCTCTCCCTCACTCTCTCCCTCCTTCACTCTCCTCATCTCTTGCCCTCTACTCTTTGATCTCAGTATTAGCTGTAACAAGATGAATTAGCCTTAATCCAGGGTATAAAAGAAAACACTTGCAGCACGCATAGATTTCCTGGCAGATTGCCTCCTAATTATTAGGGCTGTAAAGACAACCCCAACAACAACCAAACAAAAACAAGAAAAGCCAGGGTAATGCGCTGTTGCCATTCATACATCCCTACCAGCCCATTTGACTGTTTTCACTGTAACTGTTTTCAAGTGCTCGTTAAAGCTAAGAGATTTCTCCTCACATCTAGTTATTTCATAAATCCCAACTTTACCTGAAGTGGGAATGTATTTTTCTAATTGGTTTGGACTGGTATTATTTTGGCTGTATATTGCTAATGGAATTGTTCTACCCCAATAAGAAAGACTGTACTGCATTACAGTCATGTTGCTTCTTGTAAATGATCCTTAAATATCTTATATTCTCTTCTGTGTATTCTCTTCCATCTACCGAAGAGCTGTAAATCAGTCAGTAAGAGTGCTTGGCCGGGAAGTGAAACCCCTTTAAAGTATTATTCTCCGTTCAATCAGGTTTGTTGTTGTGCTCCCTCTGGGTTGTGTCTTACCTCCTGGCACATTCATTATGGGCCCTGAGGATGGCGTTCGGTGCATTCCAGCATAGATGTCCTTTTTTTCTTCCTCAGGGTTTAACTGCATCAACAAGCCAGTCAGTGTTTTGGGCTGGGCTTTCTCTGATACAGTATGTCCCTGATGGACCACCGTCTTGCAGGTTTCCATCCCCTCTTTGAACCCCACAGCTCCCAGAATTTAGGATATTTCACTCAAAGCCACATCTTTCAATATGATGACAGAGTAAGTTGTTGAATGATACAGGGAAAGATGCAGTGGTGCCACGACTGTAAGAAAGACGAGACACTTCGTAGTGTCAATCGTGTAGTTACTTTTCCCAGTCTTATTTTGTAATTAACTGTTAAGCTTGTATATCAGATGATACAGGAATATATATGATCACCCACACCTGATGATTTATGTCTGAGGATAAACCATGAGAACCTTTTTAGTGAGTCCCATCAGGACTTACAGTCAGGAAGTCTTCGTCTGACAAGCAGGTCCTCTCCCAATTGTACGAGAATATATTCCCAACCTAAGTGGATGTTGAAGCAGAGCCCTGCAATACATCTGTCATTGTTTACAGGCTATAAATGTGCTATTAGTGAGGTTGTCTCAACGGGCCCAGCGGAGGTCCTTACAAATTGAATAGTGTTTCTAATTAGAAAACAAATAGCATTTTTATTCTATTCCAGCTCTTAAAGTTTATAATGGGCAATAACCTCTGCTTCCATATTCCATCATAAGAAATTATGCAAATTATTTCAGGGATAGCACTATACTTGTTTCTTACATGCTGGGTTTAAAACTGCTGAAGGTTTGCCTCGTCTTTAAGTGGTTATAAATGTCACATCGTTTAGGGTTTTTATGACACTAGTCGGTTCTAAAACCAAATGTTAACATGCTATTACTCAGAGGGCTTGTCAGACAAAATGTGCTCGACTGTTTGTTTGAGATGGCAAGCTTGACTAACTATTGAAGAAACACACAATAAAACATTGAAAGAAGTTGACATAGAGATGGTGTCTGATTCATCTTTGCCCAAAAAAAACCCCCCACTGTGATCATGGAGTATCATCGTCTGGGATGGAAGTTATTTACGGGCTCTAGAAGTACTTGGGAAGCAACAAAGGAAGACTATTTCAGCAATCTCACCACCTGTTGAGTTCTGTTAGACAACTATATCATCCCATCCTATCCACAGGTGGAATGGTGATGAATCCATCCTACTTTGGCACTGTCGGACACAATAACACAATGATCCATGAGATGGGCCATATCTTTGGACTGTACCATGTCTTCAAGGGGGTCAGTGAGCGGGAGTCTTGTGATGACCCCTGTCAGGAGACCACTCCCTCCATGGAGACAGGAGACCTATGTGCAGACACGGCCCCTACACCCAAGTCTAAGGCCTGCCACGACCCTGGCCATGTCAACGACACCTGTGGGATAACGCTCTACCAGGACACACCATACAACAACTACATGAGTTACACAGGTAGGTCTACTGTAACCGCTCTGCAATGGAGTCAGCATCCGTTAGTCTGCGTCCCAAATGGCACTCTATTCCCTTCATAGCGCACTACTTCTGACCAGATCCATATGACCCTGGTCAAAAGTAGTGCACTATATAGGGAATAGGGTGCCATTTGGGACACATACCTAGAATGAGGCAGTGGTGCCGTACTCCTACTGCAGGACCACAAAGGTCTACTGCAGGGGTAGGCAACTAGATTCAGCCGTGGGACTAGTTTTTTTTGGGGTATAATTATAATAATTTGTACACTGCAAGTTCAGCACAACTAAGCCCAAAAATAGATTTGAAAATAACAATAATTTCATACCTTGATTACATTGATTACATTGAGACACGATCACATATGTCTCTTTTTTTATTTGTGGAAATACTTGGGAACAGATTTCCTAACAAGCTAATTTCTTGCTGAATTCCTGGTGATTGTACTGTTGTTGTTTGTAAAAAAAAACGTACATTCCCCCAAATTCCCTCTGCAACCGCCTGCTGCCGACCCCTGGTCTACTGTATATGTGAGGTTAAATCCAAGTGTATTGCATTTGGACAATGGATCGCATAGTACATCTATTGTGATTGAGATGTAGTTGTCCCTGATTGCACTGACTTTGCTCTGACTTTGCTCACAGCTGCTTGTTTGAAGAAGTGTACTTACTGTGATCAAGATGTGGTTGTCCCACTGGTTATCCTAAGTTGAATGCACCAATTTGTAAGTCGCTCTGGATAAGAGCGTCTGCTAAATGACTTAAATGTAAATGTAAATAGTATGGCTAATTCATCCACATCAAACGAGTGATCAAAATTCACTTGTCTCCTTAAAGGAAAAATCCACTAATTCCTTTAATTTACAGTGTTAAATAATACTAATATGTGAGAACAATATTTTTTGTGAACAAATGTTTCATTTTGGCGTTATAATAAGGTTGGTAGCAACATGGAAAATCGGTGTGGAAATCTGTTGCAGCTCAAGTCGACTACAAAATCCACAATGCAATGCTCTCTCTATGGACTGGCTGGCTGGTTAGCTATCTAGGTAGCTAGCTAGCAAACGTAGCTACACACAATAATACCAAAGACAATATCAGCATGTAAAGTAGCTACTTAGCTGTAAAATCGCCTAAACAAACGGCACTATCAATTTAAGAGTCTACAATCTCACCATGTTCAACCTGCAGATCGATGTGCCTCACAGAGTGGAATCTGACATTCGCAATGGCAGATATACTTTTGAGGAGATGGGAAACGTTGCCCATGCTACGTCAATGGGCCGCGCAGTGCATTCTGGGCGATTCTGGGACAAGGAGCGAATGGGAGTCTATTGGGCGCTAGCTCAAAAATCCAACATTAGCACGAATTTCGTCACATTACAAATATTTTCCCAGATGTGATATATTTAACTTGCTATCTGTAATATCGTATAGCTTTGGAAGTTTCTCGATATATACACTGACTTTAAGAAGGGATTATGTGACGATTAGCTTAGCAACCGCGTGACGCAGCATGACAAAGTGAACGCGATTGGTCGATAGTCTGCTGGGTGGGGCGTTATAAGTTCCTTCATTCATTGGATTCTTATCTCCTTTCTATAATAAAGAGGCAGACAAATAGGAAAAATGTGCTGGACCCTTTGTTAAATTACAAATTTCTCAAGGTAGGGATATCGCAAAAATATGATCAATGGCTCATTCGAGAGAAGACATCCTCCCAAGTTATGACATCAGCCAGTATTGAAATCTGACATGTATGATAGACGTTTTCGCGATCTAAAAGTCATATTCCTATTGACTTCCAGTGTAGTGAGAGCGACATTATCACAGTGCTACGTCATACCGGCCGGATTTCTGCCTGCTTGAACGCCAATAACTAGATACATGTGAAAACATGAAATAACCCAGGGAATCGAAAAAACATCACTCAGAGATGCACAACAACAATATAACATAAAAAACGGGTGAACCTTTCCTTTAAGGCGTCCGCATACTTCCCAGCCGAAACAGTTCGGAAGAGTTCGTGCATATATTATGACAACATTTTGTAGCGTTTTTGTTCGTTTTGGACTTCGGTGAGGGTTTTTTCAGCTGTTCGGGCACACACATTTTTTTCTGGAGGTAAGCCGAAGTTCGGAGCCGACGTCTATGCCCTTTCGTCGGTGATTGGTCAACAGTAGGGATTCATTCAACGAGAGACTACTCGTTTTCAAGCTAATTTTGTTCATTGCAAACATTGCAAAATACTGCACCAAACATCTTAGTTAGATGTAAAATTGCGTGACTAAGATCTCCTCGGCAAAAACGTCAAAATTAATGACAGATTTCTTGGCTACAGCGTCTCAAAATTGACAACATTTTAGTCATTTAGCAGACGCTCTTATCCAAAGCGACTTACAGTTAGTGAGCGCATACATTTTTCATACTGGCCCCCTGTGGGAAACGAACACACAACCATGGCTTTGCAAGCACCATGCTCTACCAACTGAGCTACAGGGGACTAGCAGTACTATTGCTGCTATTTTTCTCGTTTTTCAAGAGAAGGTACTTTAAGCGAATACGTGAGCACACTCGTTCGGTTCGGCTAGGCGTCAGCCGAACTGAAGCATTCTGACGCCATTAGATGATTTCCGCTGGGAACATTGACTCTACTTTCACTTCTTCTCCTCAGACGATAACTGTACCAACCATTTCACACCAAATCAAGTGGCTCGGATGCATTGTTATATGGATCTAGTCTACGAGAACTGGCTGAATGACAGAAGGCCCACCCCCATCCCTCTCAAGCCCATGGTGATTCGACAGAGCTCAGTCTCGGTCTCCATTCATTGGCTGCCACCTGTAAGAGGGCCACTTCATCAAAGGTAGAATAAGTGTGTAGCTAAATATTTTCCTCATATCAACAGCAACAGTAATGAGATAGTATGCATCCCAAATGGCACCCTATTCCCTATATAGTGCACTACTTTTGACCAGGGCCCATAGGGAGCCCATAGTGCACTATAAAGGGAATAGGGTGCCATTTGGGATGCAGACACAGATATTCATGAATGATAATTACATTTTGAAAGATTTTCTGATACTTACATTTGAGCACCTCTCTTAACAGTTCTCCTACAGTGGATAGTGTAAACTGCAGGGACTGTGAGGCAGACGGTGTGTTCCATCAATATGCCTATGAGGCCACCTCGCCCCGGGTCTGTGACTCCTCCGGATACTGGACACCTGAAGAGGCTATTGGTCAGTATTTCTCTTTTGCCACACATGGGCCTGTGTGGCTTAGTTAGTACAGCATGCCACTTGCAATGTCAGGGTTGTGGGTTCAATTCCCACTGGGGCCATCCATACTAAAATGTATGCATGCACTACTGTAATTAGGTTTGGATAAAAGCGTCTGCAAAGTGGCATATATTATTTATATTATGATAATTGCATTAGCCACTAGTAGCCAGTTTAGTCTAGGATAGTAGTCTCAAGGCCAAGTTACATGTCTCTGACACTACAAAAACATAATAAAGTGAGCACATATTCATCATCTGATAAATTATTTATTTTAATCTCATTGATTTTAGTGTGTTATTATGTCCATTCTGAACACAAAACATTCAGTTACTTACAGTTTAGGTTCTGCCTTTCTGCAAGGAGGATCCCCTATTCTCCTGTGGGTAAGGTGCGTGCAGGGATAAAGACTGGCTGGAAGAAAAATAAGAAAATCATTAAATAATAGTTGCCAGGCTAAAGAACTTCTCTTGTTTTGGCCATAAGAAAAACAGGGTGCTTGGCAATGTCAACTTTTGGCAATGTTGGGTGCCGTCCAACATTGAACTGTCATAAAAACTATGTGTATCCTGTAGTGCTTTGAAACTTTATGCTTCATGTAACAGATGTTCCTTATTATTCCAATCAAGATTCTTTGAGTGTGGAGAAGCCCAGTCTTTCGACATGACGTGTATAAAACGTTTTGGAAATTCTACCCAAATATGTGGAAATCCTCCGATGGAATTTGTGCTTTGAAAAAAAGACATAGAGAAGGAGGTGATTATTCTCCATGCTGTACTTTAATGATGATAAAGACAATTACAGCATTATCCAGGAGAGGAGCGTGGAATCCATAGTTCTGGGGAGAGACACACAGTCTGTTGACTTTTGTTGTGTACTGTAATGTAGTTTATGGGAGGAAGAGAGTCATCTTACCTGCTTGTCCATGTGCAAGCCAGGTGTTCACTCATGGGCCTTGAGAAATTCATTTAGAACAGGAAAACAAGAGTTTTACAGATTGAAAAATTAAGGAGGCTTTTGTATATTTCAAATGGGTTCAGGGACCAATCACAATGGGAATACAAAACAAAACATGATGTGATTGGTAAATGAGTTGCAAAGAAGAAAATAAATGCAACTCATTGACAAATCATGTTTTGTTTTGTATTCCCATGTGATTGGTCCCTGAACCCATTGGAGGCCATTTTTAAATATATAATTTCTCAGTCTGTAAAACAGTTTTGAATGCTGATTGCCGAAACACGTTGGTTTTATGTTTAACAATAAAGAAGCACTTTTATCAACCTCAACTTTCCTCCCAAGAGTTGCTGAATTTCCTCTTCACTTAATTTGCCCCTAAATTGCTACATATGAAAAAGTATGAATATGTATGCACTCGCTACTGTAAGGCGCTCTGGATAAGAGTGTCTGCTAAATGACTAAAATGTAAATGGACATTGGTTGGAGAGCGAGGTGGCTGTGTTCCCTTCCCTTAAAGGGGAAATCTGCAGTTGCTACATCCATTTTTGGACTTAAATAAATGTATTGGACCCATTGATTCTTGAAGAATATAACTTATAAATGCCTCATGAACTTAGTTCAACTGGTGTACCCCATCAGAACCAAAATATAATACTCCAATGTTTGTAAACAATGTAAATGTAAAGAAACACTTTATAGCCTCAAAACATGGTTAAAATTGTAATTTTTATATCATGGATGGTCAGTCCTTGCATCCATAGCTCTGACTCTGAATTTGAGAGTGGTTACATTTCTCCAGGCCCATCCCTCAGCTTTTTACCAAAACAGAGGCGGGTGTCCGCTTTGCTTTTGTTTTAACTGCAGATTCTAGGTTTAACAGGAAAACAAGTTAAGGTTGATTAGGGCGGGATTAAATGCAATCACGTTATAGCGCAGCATACTATACAGCCGACAATGCAGCTTTTTAAAGGCATTTTCCCAGACGTTCGCGGCGATCGTATTCATGTTGGTTCAAGCGTAAATTGCCATTAAAATAGTGCACTGCGCTATAACGCGCCTTGCATTAGATCGCAGCCTATATGAAAACCAGTCAAAATGTTCCACCCCAGTACCAGTGTTACCCTTTTACAAATGAATTAAACTGTTAGGCCTCTAAATTGTTAGGCCTCTAAATTGATTTAGGTAAGTTTTAAACATTAACTGAATTAATTAAAAACGCATACAACATTTCTTTTTAGGTAAGTGTTACTGTATACCTCATTCTTTTCACAGAAACAGATCTTCCCTTTGATGTGTTCCTCCACTGAAACCCAAGCATGCATTTCCAAACCTGGGGAGTCTATTTAAGCTTGAGAAAGGGAAAAGTAGTGACATGGTTAAGTTGCTGAAAGCAGGAAGGATGATACACTAAGATCTTGAATCACTAGGCTTTCCTGTGGGAGCCGTTTGCCACATCTGATACAGCGATTAATCTGGGCCTTTCTCTGTTTATCTGACCAATTTAGTTTTATGGTTTGACTTGGCGTGCTGATGTTTACCCTGAAAAAATCCACACATGTGAAGGAGCCACATTGGGTGCAAATAGCAGAAGCTGTGGAAGCTGTGGAAGCTGTGGATGTTCAGGCATTGGCTGGCTGGGGCTACCGCTGCAGGCGCTCTCCCTCTCTCCATCCAACAGTTTAGTTCAGTACTCTGCTGAGACATACTACCTGCTCCTTTTCCCATTTTTACCACAGAGGAAATGAACATGCTTTATAAATTGTTAAGCATGGATTTCTTTCCTGTGCGATGTTGCACCTGAGTATGTTGTGTTCTAGAGGGTGGCTTGGAGAAGACCAGTCCAGTCCACAGCCAGGTTGTGTGGTTTCCCCAAACTCTCTATACTGTATGTCTCTCCCTCAGAACATCACTGGTACTCTCCAGTAACCCTCTTCTTTAATAATAGTACAGTCATGTTTTTTCAGTGATTCAAATCATAAAACAACCTTAGAGATACTGCACTAACTAAAGTGTCAATCAGCAGTAGAAACAATAAAGCGTACTACCCGTTTCGGTAAAAAAATTAGGGATGGGGCTGGAGAAACTGTAACTACTCTCAAATGCATAGAGCTATGGATGCAAGGACTGACCATCCATGATATCAACATTATAGTTTGAACCATGTTTTGAGGCTATATAGTATTTATTTTTTTACATTTACTTTGTTTATAAACATTGGAGTACAACAAGCTTATATTTTGGGTTCTGATGTGGTACGACAGTTGAACTAAGCTCATGAGGCATTTATAAGTTATATTCTGCAAAAATCAGCAGGTACATATCATTGAATTATATGTCCAAAAATGGATGTAGCAACTGCTGATTTCCCCTTTAAAGACAAAGAAGAATTTAAAGTGCCTACCTTTTAAACCAATGAATAACCTTCTAACTTGCAGCATTTTACCTGTGTGGTTGGGCAGGTAAGTTGTATGTCATCCGTTAACGGTAACAGTCCAGTGTTTCCAGATTTCTATGAAATATTACCTATAATTAATTACAATATGAGTGAAATAGTTTTCCTTCCAAACAATGGTAATAAAAATAAATAAATAAATAAAAATAAAAAATGTAAAAAGCAGCTTTTCTGTATTGGAATGGTGTGGGCATACCCCAACAACAGAATGGTGTGGGCGTATACCGGTCATTAAAAATATTAAATATTCCTCTATGAGGAAATAGCAAGCATTTCTGAAACGGTCTGTTTGAGATACAAGTTTGAGATGGTAATTTTCCAATTTATGCTTTGGCCAAAAATATCAGTATAGGACGAGTCAAAAACATTATTTGGGTATTAGTTAACAGAATATTAACTTTTAAAAGTGAGATTTTCACTGGACAGTTGCTTTAAGAAGGCTTCAATTAAAAAATAATAAGTTGTGGGCCTATCTGCTCAACACACTATCACAGCTTATTGTGAAATAGACACTTTGTCATTTTCTTCACAACGCATGTTTTAAATATTTTTTATTTTGACCCGTTTTTCGTGATATCCAATTGGTAGTTACAGTCTTGTCCCATCGCTGCAACTACTGTACGGACTCGGGAGAGGCGAAGGTCGAGAGCCATGCGTCCTCCGAAACACGACCCTGCCAAGCCGCACTGCTTCTTGACACACTGCTCGCTTAACCCGGAAGCCAGCCGGAGGAAACACTGCATAACTGGCGACCATGTCAGCGTGCTTGCGCCCGGCCCGCCACCAGGAGTTGCTAGAGCGTGATGGGACAAGGACATCCCGGCCGGCGAAACCCTCCCCTAACCCGGATGATGCTGGGCCAATTGTGCGGCGCCTCATGGGTCTCCCGGTCGCGGCCGGCTGCGACACAGCCCGGGATGGAACCCGGGTCTGTAGTGACGCCTCAAGCGCTGCGATGCAGTGCCTTAGACCGCTGTGCCATTCACAACGCATTTGATGTGTATTACATAATTTTCTTCCTTCGTTAGCTAAGCTAGGGGTTAAGGTCAGGGTTAGGAGTTAAGGTTAGGTTTAGGGGTTAAGGTTAGGTAACATGCTAGCTAAGTAATTAAAGGGTTAAGGTTAGGGTTAGTGTGCCATTGGGGACGCATCTAGGTGTGGGTATATATATATATATATATATATAGTAAAACCAAATGTGTGTGTGTGTGTTTACAGGCCCTCCAGATGTATACCAGCCATGTGAGCCCAGCCTACAGGCCTGGAGTCCAGAACTCAGCCTGTATGATGCCAATGTGACGTCTCCCTGCCCTGAAACCGAGGGCTGCATCCTGATGCTGCGCTTCCTCCACCCTGTGGTCCCTAACAGCCTCACTGTGTGGGTCACCTACATCTCAGCTGGTGGGTCCCGGGTTCATTCTAGTTGTCTCCAACAGCATTCGGAAGTATTCAGACCCCTTGACTTTTTCCACATTGTTATGTTACAGCCTTATTCTAAAATGGATTAAATCATCAATCTACACACAATACCCCATAATGACAAAGTGAAATCAGGTTTTTATAAATTGTAGCTAATTTATTTAAAAAATAAAAACAGAAATACCTTATTTACATAAGTATTCAGACCCTTTGCTATGAGACACGGAATTAAGCTCAGGTGCATCCTGTTTCCATTGATCATCCTTGAGATGTTTCTATGACTTGATTGGAGTCCACCTGTGGTAAATTCAATTGATTGGACATGATTTGGAAAGACACACACCTGTCTATATAAGGTCCCACAGTTGACAGTGCATGTCAGAGCAAAAACCAAGCCATGAGGTCGAAGGAATTGTTTGTAGAGCTCCGAGACAGTATTGTGTCGAGGCACAGATCTGGGGAAGGGTACCAAAAAATGTCTGCTGCATTGAAAGGTCCCCAAGAACTCAGTGGCCTCCATCATTCTTAAATGGAAGAACTTTGGAACCACCAAGACTCTTCCTAGAGCTGACCGCCCGGCCAAACTGAGCAATCGGGGGAGAAGGGCCTTGGTCAGGGAGGTGACCAAGAACCCGATGATCACTCTGAAAGAGCTCCAGAGTTCCTCTGTGGAGATGGGAGAACCTTGAAGAAGGACAACCATGACTGCAGCACTCCACCAATCAGGCCTTTATGGTAGAGTGACCAGACGGAAGCCACTCCTCAGTAAAAGGCACACGACAGCCCGCTTGGAGTTTGCCAAAAGGCACCTAAAGACTCTCAGACCATGAGAAACAAGATTCTCTGGTCTGATGAAACTGAGATTAAACTCTTTGGCTTGATGGCCAGGTGTCACATCTGGAGGAAACCTGGCACCATCCCTACGGTGAAGCATGGTGGTGGCAGCATCATACTGTGGGGATGTTTTTCAGCGGCAGAGACTGGGAGACTAGTCAGGATCGAGGGAAAGATGAACGGAGCGAAGTACAGAGAGATCCTTGATGAAAACCTGCTTCAGAGCGCTCAGGACCTTAGACTGGCGTGAAGGTTCACCTTCCAACAGGTCAACGACCCTAAGCACACAGCCAAGACAATGCAGGCGTGGCTTTGGGACAATTCTCTGAATGTCCTTGAGTGGCCCAGCCAGAGCCCGAACTTGAAGCCGATCCAACATCTCTGGAGAGACCTGAAAATAACCTGACAGAGCTTGAGAGGATCTGCAGAGAAAAATACAGGTGTAGCGTCATACCCGAGAAGACTCGAGGCTGTAATCGCTGCTTCAACAAAGTACTGAGTAAAGGGTCTGAATACTTATGTAAATGTAATTATTTTTTGTGTTTTATAAATTTGCAAGAATATTCTAGAAATCTGTTTTTGCTTTGTCATTATGTATTATTGTGTGTAGATTGATGAGGAAAAATGTATTTTTAATCAATTAAAGAATAAGGCAAAATGTGGAAAAAGTAAGGACTTTAACTGCATGTGTGACATAACTCCACCAGTCCTATTTAGGATGTCATTTACAAAGATTATACCGTTTTTAAACATTATTTTCCAAAAATAATGTTTTTTAAAAATCAATTAGTATATTTGAGTTTAACCATAATATTTGTTCTAATATTCCTTCTGTCTTTTCTGGTGGATTAAACTGAAATTGCAACCAGCTTTCTATTGCTTGTTTTAAAAATAGCTACATTTTGGAGGTTATTTTATTTTCAAATAACTGAAAGTGAGAGGTTGTAATCTGAATGAAGGGGAAAAAGGCCGTTCTTGAACATGGGGTGACAACAGCATACATTTAGCAATTACTGAAACTCTCCACAATACAAGCCACGCATTGTGTCTACCTGAATGTTAATGCTTTGGCTGTAATGTCAAGTCACACCAAATATTTTTTCTAGGTGTTTATGAATAAATAAAGGGCCAAGCATATGCATTTTACTATGGAACTGCTTGATTATACAGGTGATGATTGTCCACCATGTTGTCTCTACAGATAACCAGGCGATCGCCAACATCGAGCTAATAACAGACACAGACGAGTCTCTTGACATGGGTCCACAGCACGTCTTCTGTGATGTGCCCCTCACTCTACGTGTGCACACCGAAAAAAGGGTGGCAGCTGTCAAACTGAGCACCTTTGATGAAAAGATGGAGATTGATGCTATCCTGCTCACTTCTGGGCCCCATAATCCTCTCTGCTCCAGTTGCCAGCCTCTGATCTACCGAGTTGTCAGGCAACCTGCGTTTTCAGGCGATCTGGTCCAGCAAACTCTGCTTACATTTACAGACAGGTAAGATTGACACTGACAAACACTTTGACCTTAGTCCGGAAAGTTCTCCTGTGCAGACACAGATTTATTGTTTGGAGGACATGTACCACTGCTCCAAGAACTGGGCCCAAGAATACACACAAAAAAGAAATCACGATCAAAATGTATGTCAGTTACAAATATCAAACAATGTAATCTTCTGTAGCAACAGAAGCTGAGATATTCGTAATTCTAGTGTTTTGGTCTGGTATTGTTTTCGCAACACAAAAACCAAATGTATTCAGTAGGCTTCTTAGCCCTAGCTACTGATCCAAATCAACATCAAGGGCCTTATTCAAGATAACTTTTTGAAAGGATTCTGGCGTACATCAAAGCATTTTTATCCCACACTGTGAGAAAAGGTGTTAAGTTGATTATCTGAATCAACTTAACAACTTAAGTGTTCTTTGTTTTTTATTCTGTTCTAAGCTTACTTTTATTCATAACAGTCTGCTTGGATTCTATATTAGCATCATACACAATTTTTTGTGAATGAGTTTGTAATTTTCCACAAACACTTTCTGGGATGTTTCTTTTCAAGCGCTTAGTTGCAGAAGTAGGTGGATATGCTTAAGAGGTCACGTTGAGGAATACATTTGGTTTCATCTCTAAAAGTTCCACAAGCAGCAGTAAGTGCAAAAAGATGTAAAAACCAAGGGGAATTAAGTTATGTGGAGGGAAGAGAGGCAGTCTCTGGAATATAAACCAAATGTGACCAGCAGAAACAGTAAACACCCGTGGCTGTTTGGAGCTGTTCCTCAGCTATTTCCTCTCGCTGAAGGCTCTGTACTGTATGCTCATCATGGTTAGTATATGATAAGTGAGAGGCCTGTCATTTGGAAAAGGGGGTGAAGAGAGAGAAGTGGGGTGTATTGCAGGAGAGAGAAAAAAGAAAGGTTAAGCATTGTGACTGACTTTGAGTCTACACTGCCACCAAGAGGTATATCTGACAAAGCAAGATTGTTTTGCACTTGATATCCTAATCCTTAAAAATAGACTCACACTTTTGGTCCATTAGTTGAGAAAAAACACTTTTGGGGTATGTGTGAAATATAGGTAGGATGAAGTTATGTCGTAACTCCATGGTCAAGGATGTATTATTTCCCCCTGACCCTCATCGTCTGGTTTCTACTACTTCGTGGCTCAAATTTGACTCGTACATTAATAACTGATTGTATAATTCCAGTGTCCATTAAGGCACAAAACTACCCTAAGTCTAAGTCCTGACAAAAAAAAAAACACAGAGACTCCTGTAAAATTTCCTCAGGTGGAATGCTAGAGAGAGAGGGCTCTTAGAGCTGATCCATAATTAATAAGGGTAATTTGTAGCGGGAGGAAATCCAACACGCCTGAGAGAGTAGATGATGTGCATTTTTGTAGGCATTCCTTACAGCTGGCCGGAGACAATGGTAATCAAGCAGTGCTGCCGGGAAATCAAAGGTAGGCTCTTTTTATAGTTTGGAGCTGACCAAAACAGCTCAATAGCCCTGGGACAGGAGGTATGATATCACCGTACCCACTGTACACCCAGTTTAGGTTTAAGGTCACTGCTTCCTACAGCAAGGTTAGATGACTAGGTGACTCTGGACACAGATACACAAGGCAAGAACCAGTGTTGGGGAAGCTAATCTGAAAATGAAGTTTACCAAGCAAGCAACTATTTCACACTGGAAGAAGTTAAGCTACACTAAAGCTAAAAATATATATAATTTACTTAATTAAAGTTACTTTGAAAAACTAGTTCACTAATCAAGCTACTTCGTGAAAAATTATCATACAGTGGGGAAAAAAAAGTATTTAGTCAGCCACCAATTGTGCAAGTTCTCCCACTTAAAAAGATGAGAGAGGCCTGTAATTTTCATCATAGGTACACGTCAACTATGACAGACAAAATGAGAATTCTTTTTCCAGAAAATCACATTGTAGGATTTTTAATGAATTTATTTGCAAATGATGGTGGAAAATAAGTATTTGGTCAATAACAAAAGTTTCTCAATACTTTGTTATATACTTTGTTATATACCCGTTGTTGGCAATGACACAGGTCAAACGTTTTCTGTAAGTCTTCACAAGGTTTTCACACACTGTTGCTGGTATTTTGGCCCATTCCTCCATGCAGATCTCCTATAGAGCAGTGATGTTTTGGGGCTGTCGCTGGGCAACACAGACTTTCAACTCCCTCCAAAGATTTTCTATGGGGTTGAGATCTGGAGACTGGCTAGGCCACTCCAGGACCTTGAAATGCTTCTTACGAAGCCACTCCTTCGTTGCCCGGGCGGTGTGTTTGGGATCATTGTCATGCTGAAAGACCCAGCCACGTTTCATCTTCAATGCCCTTGCTGATGGAAGGAGGTTTTCACTCAAAATCTCACGATACATGGCCCCATTCATTCTTTCCTTTACACAGATCAGTCGTCCTGGTCCCTTTGCAGAAAAACAGCCCCAAAGCATGATGATCTTTTATACTGATAACAAGTTCAAACAGGTGCCATTAATACAGGTAACGAGTGGAGGACAGAGGAGCCTCTTAAAGAAGAAGTTACAGGTCTGTGAGAGCCAGAAATCTTGCTTGTTTGTAGGTGACCAAATACTTATTTTCCACCATAATTTGCAAATAAATTCATAAAGAATCCTACAATGTGACTTCTGGATTATTTTTTCTCAATTTGTCTGTCATAGTTGACGTGTACCTATGATGAAAATGACAGGCCTCTCTCATCTTTTTAAGTGGGAGAACTTGCACAATTGGTGGCTGACTAAATACTTTTTTTCCCCACTGTATGTAAATCTGAAATGTCATAGACTACAAACAGATCACTTTACCCCAGTGTTACAGGTTAGCGTGCCTTCAGAAAGTATTCACACCGCTTGACTTTTTCCACATTTTGTTGTGTTACAGCCTGAATTTAATATGGATTGAGATTTTGTGTCACTGGCCTACACACAATACCCCATAATGTCAAAGTGGAATTATGTTAATTTGTTTTATTTTTACAAATTAATAAAAAATGAAAGGCTGAAATGGCTTGAGTCAGTAAGTATTCAACCCCTTTGTTATGGCAAGCCTAAATAAGTTCAGGAGTAACAATTTGCTTAACAAGTCACATAAGTTGCATGAACTCACTCTTTGTGCAATAATAGTGTTTAACATGATTTCTAAATGACTACCTCATCTCAGTACCACACACATACAATTATTTGTAAGGTCCCTCAGTCGAGAAGTGAATTTCAAACACAGATTCAACCACAAAGTCCAGTGAGGTTTTCCAATGCCTCACAAAGAAGGGCACCTATTGGTAGATGGATAAAAAAAAAAGCAGACATTGAATATGTAGTGAACTAGTACAAAAAAAAGTATGAAAATGTATGCACTCTTTACTGTAAGTTGCTCTGGATAAGAGAGTCTGCTAAATTACAAAAATGTAAATGTAATATCCCTTTGAGCATGGTGAAGTTATTAATTACACTTTGGATGGTGTATCAATACATCCAGTCGCTACAAAGATACAGGCTTCCTTCCTAACTCAGTGGCCGGAGAGGAACGAAACCACTCAGGGATTTTACCATGAGGCCAATGGTGACTTTAAAACAGTTACATAGTTGAATGGCTGTGATAGGAGAAAACTGAGAATGGATCAACAACATTGAAGTTACTCCACAATACTAACCTAAATGACAGAGTGAAAAGAAGGAAGCCTATATAGAAAAATGTCACGTTGTATAATGATTAGAAGACAGGCACAGGAATACGTATTAGGGGTTTTATTACTCCACCCAACACAAACACGTGTATATATATATATATATATACACAAAAGGGATGTAACCCAAACAAAGAGCGAGGTGTAACTCTACACAATACACGGGACGAGACCCGTAAACAACAAGATCACACTTTACGGTACTCACGAGACCAACGGACAATAATCAACAAGGACAATGGGGAGCAGAGGGCACATACAGTGGCTTGCGAAAGTATTAACCCCCCTTGGCACGACCACATGGACGCAGTGCGGGTCGGTCAGGGTGCCGACGGTGAAAATCCCTGGTCAGCGAAGCGTCCAGGATGTCCACCGCAGGAACCCAGCACCGCTCCTCTGGGCAGTACCCCTCCCAGTCGATGAGGTATTGGAGACGCCCCACCCGACGACTCGAATCCAGGACTTCACGGACCGAGTACGCCGGACCTCCCTCGATGTTCAGAGGAGGAGGCGGGGGCGTCACTGGGTCCAGCCTCAGCGAGGGGACCAGGCACCACTGGCCTGAGGAGAGACAAATGAAAAGTCGTATTAATGCGGTAATCAGCAGGGAGTTGCAAACGGTACGTTACCTTATTAACCCTCCTCAGGACTTTAAACGGCCCCACAAACCGCGGGCTCAGCTTCCGGCAGGGCATGCGGAGGGGCCGGTTCCGGGTGGAGAGCCAGACCCGGTCGCCTGGAGAGAAAACAGACGCCTCACTGTGGTGGCGGTCGGCCTGTACCTTGTGGCGACGCAAAGCCCGCTGGAGTCGAGTGTGCGCAGTGTTCCAGATCTCCTCAGCGCGCCGAAACCACTCTTCCCCCGCAGGGGCCTCGGTCTGGCTCGGATGCCAAGGTGCCAGGGCCGGCTGATACCCCAACACGCACTGGAAAGGAGAGAGGTTAGTGGAGGAGTCGCGGATGGAATTCTGCACGTACTCAGCCCAAGGTAGAAAATCTGCACACTCCCCCAGCCGGTCCTGCCAGTAACACCCCAGGAACCTGCCCACTTCCTGATTGACCCCCTCCACCTGCCCATTAGCTTGAGGACGGTACCCAGAGGTGAGACTGACTGTGACCCCTAGGCGTTCCATGAACGCTTTCCAAACGCGTGATGTGAACTGAGGACCACGGTCTGACTCAATGTCCTCCGGGATCCCATAGTGCCGGAAGACGTGCGTAAAAAGAGCCTCCATGGTTTGCATGGCCGACGGGAGCCCAGGCAGAGGAAGGAGGTGACAAGCTTTGGAAAACTGGTCCACAACGACGCAAACGGTGGTGTTCCCCTGGAAGGGGGGAAGGTCAGTGACAAAGTCCACCGAGAGGTGAGACCAGGGTCGTTGTGGAACCGGCAGGGGAAGGAGCTTTCCATAAGGGAGGTGTCTGGGTGTCTTAGACTGGGCACAGATGGAGCAGGAAGAGACCCGGACGTCCCAAGCCAAGGCGGGCCACCAGTACTTCTCAGTCAGGCAGGCGATGGTACGGCCTATCCCAGGATGACCCGACACAGGTGCATTGTGCGCTCAGGAAAGGAGACAGTCCCGCACACCCGTGGGCACTTAGGCGCGGTTCTCTTGGCAATGTGTAGGTACGGGTTCCGTACGCAGGGCCTGCCGTATGTCGGCGTCCATGTCCCACACCACTGGTGCGATGATACGGAACGGAGGGATGATGGGGTCTCCTCTTCCTGCCTCTCCTCTGCCTGGGTTGGAGCAGGGGAATTCCCTGGCTTGTCACCTCCTCGCCTATTAGTGGATAGAGGGCAGTTCGGGGAGAAAGGACCCCTTTCTCCACCATAGGAGCAGAGGCCCAGATTCCTCCTACGCTCTGCCTCCGGTCAGTGCCGATATGACTGTGGCAACCCTGTCTCTCCCGGAGACAGCCTCGGCGTAGCGAGCGAGGTACAGGTCGCATTGCAGAAGGAATCCCTTGCATCTCGCTGGCGCGCCGTCTAAGCGCTCGGGGAGGGACAGGGGTATTCCGCGGACCGGCTCAGATGGAACGGAGGCAGGTAGTGGTGGTGTGGAGGATGGTGCCGGAACCAGTCCTGGAGACTGGAGGGACTGCACTTTCCCCTCCAACCGCAGGATGGTTGCCAGCACGCTGTCCATGGTGCTGCTGAGTCTGGAGAAACAGTCCTCGTGATGCTGGACTGTCTCTATGATGGTCGCCAGCTCGGCCTTTCCCGCTGTATCCATTTTTATAGGTTGATTATTCTGTCACGTTGTACAATGATTAGAAGACAGGCGCAGGAATAAGTATTAGGGGTTAAATTACTCCACCCAACACAAACACGTATATATATACAAAAGGGATGTAACTCAAACAAAGTGTGAGGTGTAACCTCTACACAATACACGGGACGAGACCTGTAAACAGCAAGAGCACACTACACGGTACTAACGAGACCAATGGACATGGGACAATAATCGACAAGGACAATGGGGAACAGAGGGCACATATATACACAAACTAATCAGGGGGGAATGGGAACCAGGTGTGCGTAATGAGACAAGACAGTCCGGGGTTGGTGGTAATGATCCATGTCAGTGATGCCTAGAAAGCCGGTGACGTAGACCTCAGACCTCCGGAACTGGTGAACGGAATGAGCAGCAGTACGGGGGGGATCCGTGACAATAAAAAATATTCCAAAACATGCATCCTGTTTGCCACTAAAATAATACAACGTTTTGTTCTTAATACAAGGGGTTATGTTTGCAGCAAATCCAACACAACACATCACTGAGTACCACTCTTCATATTTTCAAGCATAGTGGTGGCTGCATCATGTTATGGGCATGGTTGTCATCGGCAAGGACAAGGGAGTTATTTAGGATAAAAATAAATGGAATAGAGTTAAACACATGCAAAATCCTATAGGAAACCCTTGTTCAGTCTGCTTTCCAACAGACACTGGGAGACAAATGCACCATTCAGCAGGAAAATAACCTAAAACACAAGGCCAAATATACACTGGAGTTGCTTACCAAGACGACATTGAATGTTCCTGAGCAGCCTAGTTATGTTTTGACTTAAATCGGCTTGAAAATCTATGGCAAGACTTGAAAATGGCTGTCTAGCAATGATCAACAACCAACTTGACAGAGCTTGAAGAATTTTAAAAATAATAATATGCAGATATTGTACAATCAAGGTGTGCAAAGCTCCTAAAGACTTTCCCAGAAAGACTCACAGCTGTAATTGCTGCCAAAGGTAATTCTAACATGTACTGACTCAGGGGTGTAAATAATTATGTACATGAGATATTTCTGTATTTCATTTTCAATAAATTTGCACATTCACTTTTTCATTATGGGGTATTGTCTGTAGATGGGTGAGATTATGATAATTTTTTATCCATTTTGACTTCCGTCTGGAACTCAAAAACATGTGGAATAAGTATATGAATACTTTCTGAAGGCACTGTAGCCTATTAAACACAAAAACAATGTTTCAAGTGAGAATTTGGCAGGTCTGATGCCAAAAAGGAAAGGACGTTTTTGCTTATGTAACACACTATAGAAACTACTTTAGAGTTACTATGTACGATGTGAAAACAGTCTATTTAGGTTCGAAAGGAGACTGGTATCTAAAGCAATGTAATCTAATAAGGCAAGGGAAAAAAACATTCAATATCAACTAAAGGAAGAATACTGCAAGGACTTTGTGACATACGTTCGAAGTTGAAGTTGATCTATTGTTGAAATCATTTGTTTTATATTTTTTTATGTTCAAAGATCAATGCACAACAACAGAGTATCATAACCGTAATGACCGTAATTCACAACAATACAGTTTTGTCCAATACAGTACTAAAAAATAATTATAAACTGTGTACCCAATAAAACATTTATGTGAGTACACGCAATTATCTCAGTTCAGTTCCTACAACGATGCACCAGTCAAATATCCCTAAGTAGAGATGAAGCAATGATAATGATTGTAGAAGCTGTAGATGATGACCCTCTGTAGATGGTGAAGTAGTTTCAAGTTTCATTAGTCGTACGGGATACGCATTATATACATCGTCCAACGAAATGTCTACTTGCAGGTTCCTTCTCAACAATGCAACAACAATAAGAAATAGTAAAAAATAAGAATACGAACATACAGTAAATGGTAGTGGTATAGAATAAACATTTTAGCATAAGTATAATACAGGAAGGCACAATTTATAGTACAATATTTACATGTGTATTGGGGACGGGGGGATGGGGGTGCGGAGAATCAGAGCAGGTGGTCAGTCCAGTTCAAGTGTTCAGCAGTCTGTTGGCTTGTAGATAAAAACATTCTCTGTTGGTTTCAGACCTCATGCTCCAATACCGTCTGCCCGACGGTAAGGGAGAGAACAGCTCGTGGCTGGGGTATGTGGTGTCCTTGATGATGCTGCGTGCCTTCCTCAGGCACCGTTTTGAGTAGATGTCCTGTATGGGTGGGAACACTGTCCCAGTGATGTACTGGGCCGTCTTCACCATCCGCTGGAGGGCCTTGCGGTCATGGACGGAGCAATTCCCGTACCAGGCCATGATGAAACCAGTCAGGACGCTCTCAATGGTGCAGTGGAAGTATTTGGAGAGGACTCGGGGCGGCATGCATAATTTATTCAGCCGCCTTAGGAAGTAGAGATGCTGTTGCGTTTTCTTGACAAGAGTGGTGGTGGTTTTGGTCCATGATAAGTCCTCGGTAATGTGGATGCAGCGGAACTTAAAACTTGTGACTCTCTCTACTACAGTCCCATTGATGTCGATCTGGGCATGTTCCCTCCTCTGCTTCCTGACGTCAACAATCAACTCCTTTGTTTTGCTGGCTTTGAGGGAGAGGTTGTTTTCATGACACCACAATTCCAATTCACTTACCTCCTCCCTAAAGCATGACTCGTCATTGTTGGTTATCAAGCCTACAATGATGGTGTCCTCAGCAAACTTGATAATGGAGTTGGTGTTGTGCAAGGCCACGCAGTCGTGGGTGAACAGGGAGTACAGCAGAGGACTGAGGACACACCCCTGGGGGGCCCCTGTGTTAAGAGTCAGTGTGGAGGAGGTATGGTTGACAATCCTCACAGCCTGTGGTCTGCCCGTCAGGAAGTCCAGGATCCAGTTGCAGAGAGTGGTGTCCAGACCTAGGGCATTGAGCTTGGTGTCGAGGTTGGAGGGAACAATAGTGTTGAATGCTGAACTGTAGTCGATGAACAGCATTCTCACATGGGTGTTCCTCTTGTCCAGATGTGTTGCGGCCGTGTGAATAGCGATGGAAATGACATCTTTCGTGGATCTGTGGGCCATGACCAGCCTCTCAAAGCACTTCATGATGACCGAGGTGAGCGCTACGGGGCGATAGTCATTTGGCCATGTCACCTTGTTTTTCTTGGGCACTGGGATGATGGTGGTATCCTTAAAGCAGGTGGGGACTACAGCCTGGGACAGGAACAGGTTGAAGATGTCTGAGAAGACACCCGCCAGCTGGTCAGCACACACTGTGAGGTCGCGGGGATGCCATATGGGCCCGCGGCTTTGTGAGTATTCATTTGATAGTTTTCCTCACCTGGTCATCCGGAGCAGCGAGAGTCTTCCTGGATGGCTCAGTATTGTCTGCCTCGAAGCGAGAATAGAATGTGTTAAGCTCATCTGGGAGGCTTCGGTGGGCACCGCACAGCTGGATTTTCCATTTTAGTCTGTGAAAGTCTGTAGTCCTTGCCACATGCGATGACAGTCTGAGTTGTCGAACATCAATTTAAGTTTGAGTCTGTATTGTCTTTTTGCATCCCTAATGGATTTGCGGGAGCTCGTACTGGCTTGCCTTTTACGTATCGCGCGCCACAGAGTCATCAGGGTTCATTCTGCTGACATTGAATGCTGCAGTACGGGCTCTCTGCATTGTACAGATATCTCCGTTCATCCAGGGTTTTTGGTTGGGGTATGTCTGGATTGTTATTGTGGGTACAACGTCATTAACACATTTCCTAATGAAGCCTGTGACTGACAATGTATATATCTGAATGTTGATGGATGAGTCCTGAGTGGATGAATCTTTGGACATATTCCAATCAGTATTCTCAAAACAATCCAGCAGCATTGAGTCTGCCTCCTCTGTCCAGTGCCTCACTATTCTCTTTGTTGGAGGCTCCCTCTTGAGTTGCTGCTAGGCGGGGAGTAGGAACAGAGAAAATTGATCTGATGGATGTTTGTGTATACATGGTCAAGCACGGCGGATCCTCTTGTGGGGAAGGATACCCTGCTGGTGATATTTGGGGGAAATTTGTTTTAGACAGGCTTGGTTAAAGTCACCCCTGACAATAAAGACTGCCTCTGTGCAGTTTGTTGAGTGCCACCTTGGTGTTTGTTTGTGGCGGTATGTACACAGTTGTGATAAAAACACATGTGAATTCCATTGGCATATAGTGGGGTCGGCATTTTAGCATCAGAAACTCCAGATTCGGGTGAACAGGAGCTTGCGTTGTTTTCAACTTCGGTACACCAGGAATTGTTTATAAGGAAACATACTGTAGCAGGTGATGATGGACGGAGTCAGACGCAGGAAAGGAAATCATGGAATAAATGGTTTAATCAATAAACAGAGGTACGCAGCAATGCGTAATACCCACTAGTGCAGACAAACGGCGCACTGGGGGGAATAATGCACACGGGTGAATAACCCAGCGATACACAAATAGGAACGAGCTCCACCGAGCTATAATCTCCTCTACAATAAACAATCACACACAAAGAAAAGGGGGCAGAGGGAACACTTATACAGGTACTGATGAGGGGATATGAACAAGGTGTGTATAATAAACAAGACAAAACAAATGGAATGATAAGATGAGGAGCGGCAGTGGTTAGAAGGCCGGTGTCGACGAACGCCGAAGCCTGCCCGAACAAGGAGAGGAGGCAGCTTCGGAGGAAGTCTTGACAGTACCCCCCCCCCTCCCCTTGACGCGCAGCTCCAGCAACGCGCCGACACCGGCCTCGGGGACGGCCAGGAGGATGCGGAGCAGGGCGAGCCAGATGGCAATGGTGGAAATCCCGCAACAGGGAGGGTTTGAGGATATCCCTCACCAGGACCCAATACCGCTCCTCCTGACCGTACCCCTACCACTCCACGAGGTACTGAAGGTCCCTCACCCGACGCCTAGAATCCAGGATGGAATGGACGGAGTATGCCGGGGACCCTCGATGTCCAGAGGGGGTGGAGGGACCTCCCGCACCTCAGACTCCTAGAGCGGACAAGCCACCACCGGCCTGAGGAGAGACACATGGAACGAGGGGTTAATACGGTAATCTGGAGGGAGTAGTAACCTATAGGTAACCTCGTTTATCCTCCTCAGGACTTTGAACGGCCCCACAAACCGCGGGCTCAGCTTCCGGCAGGGCAGGCGGAGGGGCAGATTCCGGGTCGAGAGCCAGACCCGATCACCCAGTACAAAGACCGGGCCTCACTGCGGTGGCGGTCAGCGTTGGCCTTCTGGTGAGTAACGGCGCGCTGGAGGTGGACGTGAGCAGCGTTCCACGTCTCCGCCGCGCGCCGAAACCAGTCATCCACCGCAGGAGCTTCGGTTTGGCTCTGATGCCACGGTGCCAGAACCGGCTGATAACCTAAAACACATTGGTATGGCAATAGGTTAGTGGAGGAGTGGCGGAGAGAGTTCTGGGCATATTCGGCCCATGGCAAGAACACTGACCACTCCCCCGGCCGGTCCTGGCAGTAGGACCGCAGGAACCTACCCACACCCTGATTCACCCGTTCCACCTGCCCATTACTCTCGGGGTGAAACCCAGAGGTCAGGCTGACCGAGACCCCCAGACGTTCCATGAACGCCTTCCAGACCCTGGCACCAAGTAGCGCCGGTCAGACACTATGTCCTCTGGCACCAAGTAGCGCCGGAAGACGTGAGTAAACAGGGCCTCCACAGTCTGCAGGGCCGTGGGGAGACTGGGCAGAGGAAGGAGGCGGCAGGCTTTTGAAAAGCGTTCCACAATGACCAGGATGGTGGTGTTACCCTGAGAGAGGGGAAGATCAGTGAGAAAGTCAATACACAGGTGAAACCATGGTCGTTGTGGAACTGGTAAGGGCTGTAACTTACCCGCTGGGAGGTGCCTAGGTGCCTTACTCTGGGTGCACACCTAGCAGGAGGAGACATACACCCTCACGTTCTTAGCCAAGGTAGGCAACCAGTACTTTCCGATCAGGCACCGCACTGTACGGCCGATACCTGGGTGACCAGAGGAGGGGGACGTGTGTGCCCAATATATCAGACGGTCACGGACAAGAGACTGCACGTACCACAGCCCAGCTGGGCACTGAGGTGGAGATGGCTCTGTGCGTAACGCCCGCTCTATGTCCGCATCCATCGCCCACACCACCAGCGCCACAATGCAGGAGGCCAGGAGTATGGGGGTGTTGTCTATTTGCCTCTCCTCTGTGTCGTACAGCCGTGACAGTGTGTCTGCCTTCAAGTTCTTCGTACCCGGGATGTAAGACAGTGTAAAATCTAACCGGGTGAAGAATAGGGCCCACCTGGCCTGGCGAGGGGTCAGTCTCCTCGCTGCCCGGATGTACTCCAGGTTACGGTGGTCCGTCCAGACAAGGAAATGGTGTTTCGCCCCCTCGAACCAGTGCCTCCACACGGTCAGGGCTCTAACAACAGCCAACAGCTCCCGATCACCAACGTCGTAGTTCTGCTCCGCCGGGCTGAGCTTCTTGGAGAAGAAGGCACAGGGGCGGATCTTGGGTGGCATGTCCGAGCATTGAGATAGGACGGCGCCTATCCCTAACTCGGACGCATCCACCTCCACTACGAACGGTAGTGATGGATCGGGATGGGCCAGTACCAGGGCTGAGGTGAACAGAACCATGAATGTCCCGAAACACCTCGTTCACAAAGGACTGGAAGACTAATGGAGCATTCATCAAACCGTACGGCATCACCAGGTATTCGCAATGCCCCGTGGTTGTGCTGAATGCTGTCTTCCACTCGTCCCCCTCTCGGACACGCACCAGGTTGTACGCACTCCAGAGATCTAATTTTGTGAAGACGCGCTCCCCGTGCATTGACTCTTCGGACACGCACCAGGTTATACGCACTCCAGAGATCTAATTTTGTGAAGACACGCGCCCCATGCAGGCCCCTTCCAAAACGTCCACTAGAAGCCAGCAGGTTGTCCATCCGGATGGCCATGTTCACCAGTTGATTGAAGGACAACGTGGTGTCCCGGCAGGCTAGCTCCCTTCGGACATCCTCTTGCAGGTGGCACTGGAAATGGTCGATGAGGGCCCGTTTGTTCCACCCGGACACAGCCGCTAGAGTCCTGAACTCCAGAGCAAAGTCCTGCGCGGTCCTCGTCCCCTGCCTCAAATGGACCAGCCGCTCGCCCGCCTCGCTCCCTTCAGGAGGGTGATCAAAGACGGCCCGGAAGAGGCGAGCAAACTCCCCGTAGTTGTCCAACGCGGCTCCTCCTTCACGGAGTCAGACGCTGGAGAGGAAATCACGGAATAAATTGTTTAATCAATAAACAGAGGTACGCAGCAATGCGTAATACCCACCAATGCGGACAAACGGCGCACTGGGGAAAAGAAGGCACACGGGTGAATAACCCAGCGATACACAAATAGGAACGAGCTCCACCGAGCTATAATCTCCTCTACAATAAACAATCACACACAAAGAAAAGGGGGCAGAGGGAACACTTATACAGGTACTGATGAGGGGATATGAACCAGGTGTGTGTAATAAACAGGACAAAACAAATGGAATGATGAGATGAGGAGCGGCAGTGGCTAGAAGGCCGGTGTCGACGAACGCCGAAGCCTGCCCGAACAAGGAGAGGAGGCAGCTTCGGAGGAAGTCGTGACACATACCCCTCCCCCCCCGACTCTTACCAGAAGCTGCCGTTCGATCCATTCGGAATATGGAGAATAGCAGAGTAGAGTGTATTGTCCCTAAGCCACATCTCAGTAAAAACAAAGACACAGCATTCCCTGATGTCCCACTGTGATTGAAGCCTTGCTCTGAGTTTACAAAGTTTATTTTCCAGCGATTGGACATTAACCATCAGGATACTAGGAGAGGAGGCCGTGTAGCCCGTCTTTTCAGCCTAGCTTGGAGTCCCCCTTTCCTTCCTCTTCTTTGTCGCCGGCATTGCCTTAGGTCATCTCGGCCAGGAGCAACAGGTAGGCCCACTGTGCGGGAAACAAAGGAGCGAATGCAGTATTCCAGATCTGGGAGGCTGAGAGAGAAATGTGTAGCTTCCGATTCATGATCCAGAAGTGTTTGTCGATCGTAGGAAATTATTGCACTAACATTCTGAGCAAACAAAGTAATAATTCCTTCTACATCTGCATTGCTTGCTGTTTGGGGTTTTAGGTTGGGTTTCTGTATAAGCACTTTGTGACATCTGCTGATGTAAAAAGGGCTTTATAAATAAATTGTATTCAATTTGAATAATTAACACAAAAAAGCTACGCCGAGCAGAAACCAGCAAGACAGGTGCCCTCCTCAGCATCACCATCTAGTTTGTAGAAGATGGCAGGTGGCGCTGGTGCCGTCAAATCAAACGGGGGGTACAAAACCTATTCAGTCTCTTACTTTAATCATCATGTAGAGGTTTCAAAAGGATTTACAGATTATGTTGCAAAACCCACATTCTTCTCCACAAGGCAACTACAGCCGAGCGCCATTACTGTTCAATCACTCTCATACAAAGCAATGCACATGTAGCGATAGCAAATGCAAAATCCAAAACGTTCTAAAATCTAAATGATCATCACTCTCAAAAGCATACAGTACATGTTTATGTCAATATCCTGACTGATTTTAGATTGTAAATATCATGTGCACTTTAGTTATTCATCAAGACAGGCATAGAATTTGGCTAGCATAAAGCTAACTCACCAGGATTCTCTTTTCATAAACATCAAAGGAAAAAACGTCAGAATTCCCCTCTGGTTCAGCTCACTCTGATTATCTAAGCGCTCGATTCTTCTGTAGTAGTAAATATTCAGTATACTACACAACTTTGTTTCCAGTAAGTTATCTAAGTTATCAACATTCAATATTTCTAGGTTTCTTCTAGGTTTCTTTCTGCTTCACAGTTCGTGGGCACTCTCGCCAAAAGGCAAGAGGGAAAAGAGCGAGATCAGAGAGACCGCAAAAGACATTCAGACTGTAGGGGTCGCCAAAAAACTCCCAACTCATAGAATTAGTGTAAAGAAGTTAGGACCTGTCTTGTTTTGTGAAAACTTTAGGAAATTACTAAAATAGCATGGGATACACTTACTTCACCTATATTTTATTTTATGCAAAAAAAAGTAGTATATAGTTCCAGTAGTTAGCTACACCGCTACATGGCAAAAAAAAAACTACCACCAAGCTACTGCCAAATGTAGTTAAAATAGGGTAGTGGGTTCGATCCCCGGGACCACCCATACACAAAAATGTATGCACGCATGACTGTAAGTCGCTTTGGATAAAAGCGTCTGCAAATGGCATATTATTATTATTATTATTATTATTATTATTATTATTATATTATTATTATTATTAGTAGTAAAATACTAGTTGAACTACATGTATAGTTCACTACTCCCCAACACTGACAAGAACAATCTGTTTTGTTATTGTGTATTGTGTGTGTGCACTGTGCAGTGTCCATCTAACCTTGCTGTTCAAAATGGTTGTTGATTGATATAACTTTTTAGTTTTTGGTCATTTTGTATCTCTATGCAACAATTCGACCTGGAAATAATCCAAAATGTTAATTATATCTGTATTTAGGAATACATTTCCATGAGACAAGCATGTCATTTGAACAATGTTTACACTTGAATGTTGCATGTTTTGATGTGTTCCTACAGTGACGTTGTAAAGGATGAGGAGTACCAGTACAGAGTTCAGGTGGAAGCAGACGGTCTCCTCAGTGAGCTCTCCCCACCTCTCCTCTACACCCATGGAGCTGCCTACTGCGGAGACGGACTACTCCAGAGGTCAGTCAGTTTACACAGTATTCACATCACAGATATGTCATATTTTCTCTCATCCATTGTAGACAACACCAACAGTAGAATGACAATGTACATAATATATGATTAAATTCATACTATTAATTGAGACACAGCAATGTTGTAATCATGGTAAAAAAAAGTCAACCTTCATCACTTTGGACAGACAGTTTCAAATACACAGGACATGATGTTATATAAAATCCCTAAGAAGATCATGAGCACTAACCTCAAACTTGAGACAAGGATAGGGATAGACAGGTTCATTAAGTTAGCAAGTGTGTAAGTCACACCAAACTACAGTATGTGTGTTTGTAATGAAAGTGTATGGCCTATGGAGATGACTGATCCTTATTGTCTCTCTCTCTCTCTGTAGGACAGAGGACTGTGATGATGGCAATCTGTTGGATGGTGATGGCTGCTCTAAGAAGTGCCACATGGAGTCAGGCTTCAACTGCAATGGTGAGTGAAGAACAGACAAGACTGCTCTCCTAATCCTTGTCTCAGTCTACAGTCTGTGGACTGACCGCAACAGAAGCCCAACTAGACCATGTTGATGGAACTCAACCAAAACGGTAATTGCAAGCAGAAGCTTCAATTCAAACTCGGTCAAAATGCCTTTATAAAGTTGAACACTAGTGTACGTCAAGACAGGTCACAACTTAACACTTAACTAAGTAAAGAGTCATCACTCATCACACACATTAGCTCCATGCACTGATTTCATATCACAAACACTGTAATTTGGAGTCATTCTGCGCTTAACCATCTCAATTTACCCAAACTATGTATTATGCATACAATAATCAAATATAATTCAAAACGAATACATATGAACTCAAAGACTCAAACAACACTCACCCAGAGATGTGAATTGTGAAGTGTATTTTTCTTTCCTGAAGTAAGTTTACTATTACAGCTAGCTTGTTTTGATTTCCACAACACAACAATGCTGTCAAGCTGACACACTGCCTTGTCTCTGGTTTTCATTCAGAGACTTGGCAAGCTTAAAGTAGACATTGCACACACAGTAACAACAGCAAATGTCAACCTCACAGTTGCGGTGTTCTTGTGTCGCCTATAAATGTATCCACCATGCTGGGGAATGCTTTTGTCCTCTTCCTTTATGATCATGCTCTTAGTTAAAGCAATGTGTTTTCTTTCATATAAAATGTGTAATTTGGCTCACAATATAGATCACAAGGAAGTAGGCCTAATGGTTACTGAGTAACTCATATAATTTAATGGATTTACATGTTCTATTCTCACATACTGTATGTGTGTATGTCCCAAATGGCACCATATTCCTTTTATAGTGCACTACTTTTGACAGAGTATTAATTTATTAATCCCAACTTGGGAAATTGTTTTATAACCTCAAGCATCATCAATGGACAAGACAAGAATCAATGACATACACATAATATATATATATTTTTTAGTAGTGCATTATAAAGGGAATTGGGTGCCATTTGGCACAGAATTTTGTGAATCCATTACTCAGCTGGGACGTCAACAGACCCTCAATTTCGTCAAGGGAGAAAAAAGAAAGCACCTCCATGAAGGTTCAGAGATGCCGTGACTGAAAGTGTTACATTTTCTTAGGGAATAAACACAACTAGCAGGAAAAAAAACTTTGGCAAAAACACATGATAAATTGCAACACATATGAAACGGAATCATTTCACCATTCAAGATAGTGTCTCACTCTCGCTCAGTCATGCACAAATTTGCTTCCATGTTTGGGTATTCTGATGCTTGACAAGTTAACTCGTACAACACCAGAATGGTCAATGTATCTGTAGCATGAACATCAACTCGTATTATCCTGAGAGTGATATTGCTGTGACAAACAACTGAAGTAAAAACACATACTGTACATTATGGTCAATGCACAATTGGCCAAACAACCTGCTATGATGATAATGTGGTTTGATTTCATATTGTCTAGACTTTACTTTTGAGACATATTTCCATGGATTACTTATGCCAATTCAATACCTTGTCAGTGACTAAACTCTCTCCTACCCATGCAGCTGTCTGTAACAAACAGACAGGGCCAAGTCCAGCCTCTGATGTTATGCACATCAGGTCCACTCATTATTAATATTTGGTGTATTACATGATGTTTAGCTTTTTTATTCTCTCTCTTTGAACCTTTGTCAGACATCTTTATTATTGAAGTACATCTTTCCAGTTAGGTAATGTTTTCTTATGACATCATCTACTTATTGTTATAAAATGCAATCCCCCCACCAGACTGGGTTAGTACCAAATGGCACCCTATTCCTTATATAGTGCACTACTTTCGACCAGCCCTATGGGTCCTGGTCAAAAGTAGTGCACTATAAAGGGAATATGGCTCCATTTGGGACGCAAGCTTGTTCACCACATATCTTTCCCTCCATTGGTTCCTCTAGGTGAACCCAGCCTGTGCTACGTGTTTGAGGGTGATGGTGTGTGTGAGGTGTTTGAGAGGGGCTCCAGCGTACAGGACTGTGGTTACTTCACCCCTCATGGTTACAGTGACCAGTGGGCTTCAACCGCAGCAGCCTCCTATCAGGATCAAATCAATTGCCCTGCCCTGGGAGCCACCGGAGAGCCCTCACTTAGCAAGGTAGCAGTGCTTTACCTCTGCCCTGTCCTCCACCTCCTGGATACAATTGTTATCTTTCTGTAAATGTGACAATATTGAGTGTTGTTATGAAGGTTTTAAATAATTACTGTATGATTCCCCTTTTATTAAAGCTATGCAAGCCCCAGTACCTGGAGATGAATGAGAAGCCATCACATGACATATGGTTTCCATGCACGGCCCAGCCGTACACTCAGACCCACTCTGACGCGGAAGATACAGTATGGCTAAAGGTAGTGTTCTCCAAGCCACCACAGAGGATGCATGTGGCACCCTATTCCCTTTATAGTGCACTACCTTTGACCAGGGCCCACACACTATTTGACACTCTCCAAAGTAATATTCCAACAGTCATTTGTTATGTTCCAGGGCACATCTTTGTACTTTCTCCCAATTTGTCATGCCACGTTTGTCACAGTTTCTGTGGTTTCTGTTGTCATATTTTCCCCGGTATCATTACCATGCAATCTAATTATCATTGAAGTGGGGAACATTCAGGAACTGATTATTATTAAGTTGAACTCATTGGGTTGTTATCATAATAACTCTAATTGTTTGCCCAGGTGGGATTTGCGCAACCTGGAGTCGCCACGTCTGTCATCATCTATCTGGCCTCGGACGGAGCCTGGCCTGGAGAGCAGTGCAGGAAAACAGTCTTCATCCAACTGTGTGATACTGGTGGCAGAAACCACTCCTTGGGTAGGAACTTGAACTACTGACCCTGTTCACCTTGACAGACAAAAGAGCTGACTGACTGTTTGAATAAACATTTTCCAAGCCAAGATGTCTTCACACATACGTAGAGTTAGGGTTATGGCTAGGGACGTCTCAAGTCATGATGGCTGGTTACAGTGATGACCATGTGATATTTAAAGTGAGTAAGCATTCATGTCTTATTCCTGTCTGGGGCTCCATCTCAATTCCTCTTTTCGCAATTCCTCGCATCCCTTCTCCTCACCTACTTCTCAACTGTAGTTGAGGATAAGGACCAAGGTCCCTCCCCTTGGACCTTCTTGTTCAATATGTTTTGAGAAGATGAGGAATCGAGGAAAAATTAATTGAAGAAGGGCTTGTGTCTGTCCTCAGGTTCCTTTGAGCTGTCGTGCCAGCATAATCCCCTGGTGGTGAACGTGACACACAACCTGAGTCAACCCTTCTTCCTGACCACCGCTGTCATCCTCAACTTCTCCTCGCCCTTCGTTGCCGTGACGGGAGTCGCTCTGCGCACGTCGTGTCACTTCAGCGCCCTTGCCCTCACTGGGTGCGCTGAGGGTGGGGTCTCCTAGGGATTCCACATGCACACACACACACGCACATATGTACATGTACAGGCACACACATGTGCACACACAGACACACACACACACAGTCATTCAGACATACACACACACATACACAACACGTAACATAGCCGTGCAAACACACACACACACACACACATACACACAAAGTGTGTGATATGTGTTACCATATCTGTTGAAAATTTAAATAATCAACAAAATTCTAAAAACATTACTCAACTCATACCTTTCTCTCTGTGTTTATCCTCTCCCTCTGTGCGTGTGTGATTGTGGTGGCCCAGCTGTTCACGACGGCCCTGCCAGATGGACACATGCAGTCCTCCTCAGCTGGAACATGCCTCTGTCACCTGCAACCCCGGGACAGAGAGGACTGAGACCTCTCACTGCACTGTCCACTGTCATCAAGGTTTTACTCTCACTGTGCTCAGTGGCAAGGGCCACCCACCCTTTCAGGTAAGCACAACACTGGGATTAGAATAGGGTCTTACCCCATCAGGTAAGCACAACACTAGGATTAGACTAGGGTCTTACACCATCAGGTACAGTGGGGAAAAAAAGTATTTAGTCAGCCACCAATTGTGCAAGTTCTCCCACTTAAAAAGATGAGAGAGGCCTGTAATTTTCATCATAGGTACACGTCAACTATGACAGACAAAATGAGAACATTTTTTCCAGAAAATCACATTGTAGGATTTTTAATGAATTTATTTGCAAATTATGGTGGAAAATAAGTATTTGGTCAATAACAAAAGTTTCTTAATACTTTGTTATATACCCTTTGTTGGCAATGACACAGGTCAAATGTTTTCTGTAAGTCTTCACAAGGTTTTCACACACTGTTGCTGGTATTTTGGCCCATTCCTCCATGCAGATCTCCTCTAGAGCAGTGATGTTTTGGGGCTGTCGCTGGGCAACACAGACTTTCAACTCCCTCCAAAGATTTTCTATGGGGTTGAGATCTGGAGACTGGCTAGGCCACTCCAGGACCTTGAAATGCTTCTTACAACGCCACTCCTTCGTTGCCCGGGCTGTGTGTTTGGGATCATTGTCATGCTGAAAGACCCAGCCACGTTTAATCTTCAATGCCCTTGCTGATGGAAGGAGGTTTTCACTCAAAATCTCACGATACATGGCCCCATTCATTCTTTCCTTTACACGGATCAGTCGTCCTGGTCCCTTTGCAGAAAAACAGCCCCAAAGCATGATGTTTCCACCCCCATGCTTCACAGTAGGTATGGTGTTCTTTGGATGCAACTCAGCATTCTTTGTCCTCCAAACACGACAAGTTGAGTTTTTACCAAAAAGTTCTATTTTGGTTTCATCTGACCATATGACATTCTCCCAATCCTCTTCTGGATCATCCAAATGCACTCTAGCAAACTTCAGACGGGCCTGGACATGTACTGGCTTAAGCAGGGGGACAAGTCTTGCACTGCAGGATTTGAGTCCCTGGCGGCGTAGTGTGTTACTGATGGTAGGCTTTGTTACTTTGGTCCCAGCTCTCTGCAGGTCATTCACTAGGTCCCCCCGTGTGGTTCTGGGATTTTTGCTCACCGTTCTTGTGATCATTTTGACCCCACGGGGTGAGATCTTGCGTGGAGCCCCAGATCGAGGGAGATTATCAGTGGTCTTGTATGTCTTCCATTTCCTAATAATTGCTCCCACAGTTGATTTCTTCAAACCAAGCTGCTTACCTATTGCGGATTCAGTCTTCCCAGCCTGGTGCAGGTCTACAATTTTGTTTCTGGTGTCCTTTGACAGCTCTTTGGTCTTGGCCATAGTGGAGTTTGGAGTGTGACTGTTTGAGGTTGTGGACAGGTGTCTTTTATACTGATAACAAGTTCAAACAGGTGCCATTAATACAGGTAACGAGTGGAGGACAGAGGAGCCTCTTAAAGAAGAAGTTACAGGTCTGTGAGAGCCAGAAATCTTGCTTGTTTGTAGGTGACCAAATACTTATTTTCCACCATAATTTGCAAATAAATTCATAGAAAATCCTACAATGTGATTTTCTGGAGAAAAAAAATATCCATTTGTCTGTCATAGTTGACGTGTACCTATGATGAAAATGACAGGCCTCTCTCATCTTTTTAAGTGGGAGAACTTGCACAATTGGTGGCTGACTAAATACTTTTTTCCCCCACTGTAAACACAACACTGGGATTAGACTAGGGTTTTACCCCATTAGGTAAGCACAACACTAGGATTAGACTAGGGTCTTACCCCATCAGGTAAACACAACACTAGGATTAGACTAGGGTCTTACCCCATCAGGTAAGCACAACACTAGGATTAGACTAGGGTCTTAACCCATCAGGTAAGCACAACACTGCGATTAGACTAGGGTCTTACCCCATCAGGTAAGCACAACACTGGGATTAGACTAGGGTCTTACCCCATCAGGTAAGCACAACACTGGGATTAGACTAGGGTCTTACCCCATCAGGTAAGGACAACACTGGGATTAGACTAGGGTCTTACCCCATCAGGTAAGCACAACACTGGGATTAGACTAGGGTCTTACCCCATCAGGTAAGCACAACACTGGGATTAGACTAGGGTCTTACCCCATCAGGTAAGCACAACACTAGGATTAGACTAGGGTTGACAACCTTAGAACCTCACTCTATTTAAACAATTCAGAGCATAATAGAAATCATATGTAATATATATAATATAAGCCCCCTCCACTTTATCCCCCTACACATCAACATTGAATTTGAGAGCATTGTAAAAGTAACATAAAATATTACTAGCCTACTATGACTGTCGAAATATAGGAACTACTACAAGTAGCACCAGTAGTAGATATTTATATGATTGTAGTAGAATGCCATAGCACATCATGACTGTGTAATGTTTATTTATTCATCTTCAATTGAAAGAGAGAAACAGAGCTTCAGTGTGTACATGGAGCATGGGACCATGTTGTGAGCTGTCAGCCAATCGACTGTGGCCCCCCTCACCAGTCTCACGTCTACTTTGCTGTCTTCAGCTGCCCCTGGGGCACAACATTTGGCAAGCAGTGCTCTTTCACCTGCAACCCCCCTGCCATACTCCAGGGTATGTATGATTAACAGTACAGTTATAATTATACAAATTTACATACAGTGCATTGTATTCATAACAGTTTATATGATTATAGGTCCATTTATCATTTTAATGAAGTGGGAAGTTGATATTCATTCAGTCATTTACACAAAATGATTGGCACGTTCTAAAATTCTCAGAGAGGAAAATAAATTAGCTTGACCATGAGGCGGTTATTGCTGTTTTCTAGTTCACCTGAGGAGTCTCAGTCTATTACCTCATGTTGGTTGGGTGCACAGAGGGGCTTGGAGTCTAGCCTGATGTGGCATCATGGCGTAGGAGTGTGTCTGTGTTGCTCTGCTTTGACCTATTAGAGGTTCTTGTGAGGCGAGGCTGCTCTGCCGGCCCTGGGACTGGGACTGAACTGAACAGCTTGGCAGTTGATCTTGGTTGGCTTCCAGTGGACATATGCCTTTAGGCTCTGTGTAAATAGAAAAGTAGCAGGTGACAGGTGAAGAGAATAAATAAGGCAAACGAGAGGGTTTCTAACTCTGGAGTCGTCAGCAGGGCCAAGTGGGGCTCACGCTGGTAAGAACATGCTGCCATTTAATTTACCTCAGGGCCCCTGGCTTCTATCATCTATTACAGGGTTTTACCCCTGGCTTGTAGCTTCTACTCCAGGGTTTTACCCCTGGCTTGTAGCTTCTACTCCAGGGTTTTACCCCTGGCTTGTAGCTTCTACTCCAGGGTTTTACCCATGGCTTCTATCTTCTATTACAGGGTTTTACTCCGAGATCACTCACTCACATGATCGCTACCCAAAGTTATTATTGACAACATAACGTTTTCTCTTCCGAAAGGAAAAGGGATAGATGGGTCGTTCCACGAAATGAGTGCCTTTGATATTTTAAGTAGAGATTGTGCACAAATATTGCATTTTTAAAAGCCTGTTATATTAAATGAAGTGCCCTTTAATATACACTACATGGACAATTAAATACATCTGTGCATCCTCTGTGACTTCTAGGAAGATTTTAACCCACTTAACCCACAAAGTCATTTCTGAAGATTATGATTTATTTCATGTTATTAGTGATTCATTTTAAAGTAAAAAAAAACAACCTGTCTCTAATTTTAATGTCAACCATGTTACATGACTGTAAGTCGCTTTGGATAAAAGCGTCTGCTAAATGGCATATTAATAATAATTAATAACATGAGCTGAACTCTCATTTTAATACGGTGAAACTATTCCTGTTAAACTCTGACGCCCTCTGGTGGCATTTTCTAAGCGACACTTAAATTGTAAACTACCTTTATTAGATACGTTTCGATTTCAAAACTATAAGTCCTAAAGACACATGCATAGTACTGTTAGAAAGGTAAGAACCGTGGGATTCTGATACAGTTGTATAGCAACAACGTGACTATTACAGAGCCAGAACAACAGCAGGGATATAAATCTTGGGGGGTTTTGGTTCCCAAATTTTCCCCATGTGAGAGAATAGGAAATTTGAATGTCTGGGTTTGAAAGAAAATATGTCACCAATGACCATTCTAAAAGGATATAAGTACTTTTTTTACATGTTTTTTTCTTCATATCTTTTTGGTAATGGTGGCGCTCTAAACATGCACAATTCCCATAGGAACACAGCCATTTTAAAAGCGCAGGGCTTGTGCAACGTGCCATGCCTTTATTCTTTGTATTAGAGGAATTATATACTGTACATATGAAGTCGTAACCTTTTCATTGCCGTAATCAGATCTCAAGTCTGATTCCCAGTTCGTCCGCTATAAGATCACATGCGTCTGGTTTGATCTGGTTTGGGTGGTACCTCACTGTGCGAAAATGGCTAAACTGGTATTCAAGCCTGACATCTTAAAATGAACCTAGTCATCGGTACTTGTTTTTTGAAATAACACACAGACAGGCGAGGAAACTTCAAACTTCTTTTCCCATTCGTTTTCCCATTGGAAACGAGCGAGATTGATCAATGGAGCATATGGAGCATGCATTCAAGGTAATGTCATATTACATGTGGATGGAAAATGTGGAAGTTGACATCGCCAAAAAGACAAGAGCTTTCGAATGGTAGCTTTCCACTTAAGCTCCGTGGACCCGGTACCGGGCCCAAAACAACCGCTCAGAGTGTAACAGGTTTTTAAATAGTTTTTTAATCTCTACTGGATCGGTGTCCGTTAATTGGGACAGTTCTTACTCAATACGAACAATGTGACTAGAATGACGTTGTATACAAAAGCAAACTTTCCCGAGCAGACATATCTTATATGGGCAGAAAGCTTAAATTATTGTTAATCTAACTGCAGTGTCCAATTTACAGTAGCTATTACAGCGAAAAATTACCATGCTATTGTTTGAGGATAGTGCACAACAACAAAACACTTTTATCATGACGACAGGT